CAGCGCCTTTTTCACTCGGTCCCCACGGACGGACTAGGAGGGGACGGCGACGACGGTTCGATGTTCTCGCCCAAGAGCGCGCGGCGGCGCCGTTGCGCCGCCACCGCGTGTCGCAGCTTATCCACTTCCTGCAGCCTACGCAACGCGGCCGGGAAGACGTGGAGGTGCTCGAGGTGCGAACCGATGACGAATACGTCGTCGACCGCCGCGGAGATGTTCGCGTGCGCGGCGACCTTCACGGTGGTGACCGAGGTTCCGAACGCGCCCTCGTCGTCGAACGCGACGCATCGAATCTTCGTGCGTCCACCAGCGCGTCGATTGTGAGGGAGCAAGACGTCTTCGAAAACAGCGTGACCTTCCTGAAGCTCTGTGAGCCACATCCAACGCGGGGCGAAGACGTCGTAGTCGTACCAGTACGCGAGGCGATACTCGAGCGTTTTATCCGCGTCGACCCATTCGCCGCAATCGACGGAGAATTTAGTTTCAAATTCAATCCCGTCGATCGCGGGTTCGACGACGACGCCTTCGCCCACGGACCGAGGCGGCGCGTTCGTCACCAGGATTCTCTCCGATTGTCCTTCGCATCCGTTATCCACGCCGGCGACGCGCGTGGTCAGCGTGAGCGTGTACTCGCGGCCGGGGTTCATCGTATTTTTGACGATCGACATGTACCCCTTGTCTTGCCAGTGCGTGTACACGGGAACGGCGAGCGTCGTCGCGGTCGCCGGGCTCGTGTCCACGATGCTCCACCTGAACTGCACGCGGCCTAAAGCGCTTACTCCGTCGCCGTAGATCCGAAACAAGAATTGATGGTTGATCGACTTCGGCGTCGGCTCGATGTTCGCGCTCGGGCACGTGTTGTTCCCCGTCACGAGCTGAACCTTATCAGGCCCTCTCGACGAGCGGTGAGTCTTGGACGTCAGCATCGTGAACGTGTACGCCGAATTCGGTCCCATCGTGTTTGGTGGCAACGTCAGCGGGCTCCCACTGGGTATGTCGTCGACCACGAATATTCCATACATGTCCTTGAGTTTCTTCGTCATGCCGCGGAGGTGGCACGTCGGGCGGTCCGCGAGTAAATCCTCGCACGTCCAGTCGTGTCTGAGCGCGTGGGTGTCCGTTCGCCAGTCCGGATCGACGAATCGCAAAGGCGCGGTCGTGACGTTCACCTCCTCGGTTTTATCGACGATGAAAGCACCGGTGTTCGCACGCGAGACCGAAGGATACAACGAAGACGCGTCGAACGTTACGGGTGAGTACGAAAAATCACCGCCGTTCGCGTCGATTGGCTTGAAGTAGTCCGTCATGGGGTCTCCGCCCATGCCACCGACGATGATCGATTTTATACCCGCATAACCCGCTCGCATGACACGCCCTGGGAAGCCGTGCACGTCATACACCGTGTCGTTGTGCCACGTGTCGTTGAAAAATATCGAGTAGTTTGAAGTGAAGTGGTACTGCCGGGCGGCGAAGAAAAGTGTCCGTGATAGGCGGCCGGACACCATCCCCCGCGTCGCAGCGACGATTTTCTGCAGCTTTGCCTCCTGCGCGACGACTTCAGGGTGCAATCCCGTAGGGGTGGGCCATCCCGCGACGCGGGACTTGGGGAACGTAGCGTACATTTCGGAGTTGTACTCTGGCTTCACCGCCCACGTCACCGACACTGGGGGATTGCACTCGGGGAGGTCGGAGTATTTCCATCGGCGGTCGTACGTCCATTCGCGCACGAGTGCCAACTGAGTAAATGATTTGCGCAATGACGCGGGGGTGAAGATCGCGGGCGGAGAATCTATTGCTATGCTGTGAGGATTGTGAGGCCCATACCTGAAAACAAGCTTCGGCGATGATGGCACACTTCTTTCATCGCACGAACCACCTGGGAAGATATTTATAGTCGCCGTTGCGGTGTCCGCGTGAGGATCGTGCACAAGTTGACCGGTATAAGGGTCGACCGCGCCGCGATCCACGTCGTGACCTTCTTTGTTGTACGCGACGACGTTGAAAATGTACTCCCAAGCCCAAGGGCAATCTGCAAGGAAGAATTCTCGTGGGATTCGCAGCGTATGTTTGCGAGGTTGCGAAGACACAAATGCCTCCAATTTCCTCACCGACTCCTTCTCCTGCTCGGTCTGCGGTTTGATGTAAACGTGCGGACAATAATTAGTAGTTGCGGGATTGCACTTAGGATCCGTCCAGACACTTCTTCTCACAGATTCGGGTTTCAGGCTCCACTTGAATCGCAAAGGAACATCCCCGATCGCGCCGGTGGAACGATCCGCGTGGAGCACGATTTTGTCGTCGTACGCAGTTTTCTCAGGGTGGTAGCATTGCTCGTTGAACAGTTTCTGTTGGTTTACTATCACCGGTGACGTCCATGGAAGATCGTATGGATTTCTGTCTGAGTAGTACCGACCAGCGAATCTCCCGGTGTATTTGATCGTGGAATGGTTCCCTGACGACGGAGGGAACGCATAAGAACCTTTGGAGGTAGTCACATCCGCGACGACCGCGATGGGCTCTCCCGCACGTCTTGTCACCACGACAGAGGCGGTGGAGCTGTTTCCTCGTTCTCTGAAGCGGTCGTGATATACGACGCCGCCGCGCAGGCTGAGCGTCGTTCCGTCGGACACGCCGTCGCTCGACTCGGTGACGTTGTGTTCGCCGACGACCAGATACAATCGGACGAAGCGTTTGTCGATGAACGCGCCTATGCACCCTTCGCCTAACACGACCGCGCTTTCGCGAAGGAAGAGTTTATCGCAAGAGTACGCGCCTCCGAGGGTGAGCCCAGCGGTCTCGCCGCGGTCGGTGTCGACGTCGAACAAGAGGTCGACCGCGGTGCCCGCCATGTTCATGTGCGCCCACAACAGCTTCACGGGGGGCTCTTTGAAATCGAGAGGGTTGCAGACCTCGAAGCTAGCCAATTGCGAAGGACCTCGGAACAGCACCGCGTACGCGTCCGACTTTTCGCAATCACGACCCGTAGCGAAATCCGTGACTTCATCGCCGCTACGTTTCATCGGGCACTTGTTTCCGTATTTCGAGTTCTCGCCCCAAACCTAGGGCGATGTCGGGGTGGAGTTGAAAAACGTCGAGGTCAAATGTTGAAAGCGAGGGTTGGGCGGAGAGATGAGACGGGGAAAGTCCTTAAGGAACGGCGTTCACCACGCCAACGCGGTCGTATGGGGACCAGTGTATAGAACGCACCTGCAGCGCGTTCGCGGTGGTATAAAATGCGCCAGATTTCCCAAAATCGATCTCCGACGGAGGCTGTTCCACGAGCAACGCGGACGTGCACGCGCCAAAGTGGTAGACGTCATCGGGGCAGTACACGCCGCCGGCGATGCCAGTCACCTTGCCTGACGCCTTCCCGGGGACGTACGTCCACTTCGGGCGGGTGATCAAATTAGGATCCATGATAGCAATGTACGGTTTCGACGCCATCTTATCGGAGCCTTCAAAATCTCTGTTGTTCAAGCGGTTGTTCGTTTTTAGAACAGCTAAGTCTTTTATCGCGCCGGCGGGCATCTCGCCACCGAAAACGATGTTCCCCTTGCCATCGACGTCGAGCGCCTTGAGCGTGACGCCGTAAACCGCGTAATATGGGGCTGCGGTCTTTGAGTAGTCCGGACAAGCCAGCATGCCTCCAATCGGCGACGACATGAGAAACTGCCCTTTGAGGACGACGCCGAGGACGGGGTCCACGATCGCGACGTACGCCACCTTGGCGTGGAGCTGGTCGACGAGCCCGCCGAGGTCAGAGTTAGGGTTTGTGCCCCTGAATGTTTCTTTCGGCCGCTTCGAGATTCGGTTAGCGACGACGTGAGAGCCGAGCTGTTTAGAGCCGTCGTGAATAAACACGGTGTGTGCGGTGATGATCTGAGCATGTGAACCAGGAAGGCATAAGTGGAGGGATTCTTTCTCGAAGCCGTTCGTCTCGCCGCCGACGACGAGGCGGCCGGAGCGATCCAATACCATCTGCGTGATTTGCGTGTCCGAGCCGTCGCGCTCGTCCAGGTCCGACCCCGCGTAGTCCCACGTGCTCCATCTCAAAGCATACTCCGCGCGTTCGCCCGCGCGAACGTTTGCGTCGAACTTGCGCAAGAACGCGATTCGCGTGAGCCGATCGTACGGCGCTTCCGGCGCTGGTGGCGTGTGATGCACCATCGCTTGTTTGAATCCACCGACGTACACCCCCGAATTCAATCCGTCGACGTCGGAGACGGCGACATCGAGCGGGAAATCATCCCCTACCTTCCCTTCCTGCTTGAAATGATCCACCTCGAGGCGAGCCATTTCGTTCCCACCACCGATCACGTCCAAGACGACGACGAGCGTAGGAGATGTCCGGGCGGGGCACACTATGTAACCATTGTTGACGAGGCAAGGTTCGCTTCCGAACGCGAGCACGGCCGCGACTCGGCCTCTCGGTCCGATGGCCACGCGGATCTTACCCGGATGTAAACCGCATAAAGGCGCGCATTTGGGGTTCGAAACGCCACCGTCGCACTTTGCGCACGCGTTCCACAGCACGGCGTTCGCTTCGTGGTTCAAACCGAGGACACCGTCTGGGCCGGCGATGATCAGCGTCCCGGTTTCGTTCGATATGCGCATGTGCTCCGTGGCGTTGCTTCCGACGTAGGACACGGACTTGGGCGAGCCGCACGAGAGCTCGGGGGCGCCGTCGTATCCACACCCAGCGCCCTCGAGTGTTAAGATTTGCGCCATGCACTGATGCCCAGTCGATTCGTTGAAAATTCCAGGCATGGGATTCTTCGTGTCCGCGCACCCAGACGCCTCCTCGGTCAAATCCGTGTGAGCCAAAGACGTGTTCGACCCGAGCGCGTTTAGGGCGCCCATTTGCCCGCCGAGGAGGAAATCGCCGTCGCGCCGAGACACCGCGCTCGTCACTTTGGTGTCCACCCCGTACATGTTGCCAAGATACGAGGCGAACCCGTAGTGCGTCGCTGGCGACGTGAGCGGCTTGCACTCGTCCGTGACGAGCCGGCGGATACCGAAGATCTCGTACGTGTGCGTGGTGTCCGCCCCCTCCCCAGCCTCGTCTAGGCACCGCCACGCCGGTTCCGTCGCTGGGTTGTACCCGATCTGCATCACCGCGTAATACGTGTACCCGCCGTCAGGCGAGAACATGTCTCCAAGGATGTCCGAGCACAACCACGGGGACTTCGCCTGGGACGTCGCTAGGTCCATGTACGGGCTTTGCAACGTGTTGGAACCGTCGATGAACCGCCGATGCGCGAACCCCCACCCCTTGGCGGCGACGCCGTAATGCGTGACGCTCCTTCCACTGAGCATGGCATACTGTCCGATGGGGTTCTCGGCGTCGTCGACGCCGTCCCTTCCCACCCACGCGCCCGGTTTGTGTTTGGTTTCCTTGCGCCAGCTTCGGAACGAATACAGTTTGCCCCTGTCCGTCTCTCGATCAAACGCCCATCCATTTCGGTCTGTTAACCAAACCTTGTTCGGGTGAAGGATGACGATGTCCTCGTGGTCGCCTGTCTTGTAGATTCTGGCGCCGTGTATGACGTCTCGCGACCGCCACTTCGGTATCGACCCGGCGTCGTCGAGTTCGAAGCGGCCGGCGTAGGATCGCTTATCGAAATCCTCGCCGCACAACCCGGTCAGCTCGCACGTTGCGGTTTTGCCTCTGAGGATAGCGAACATCCCGTCGTAATCCCACGGAATATGGTGCTTATCGTCGTCCCCAGAGGCGAAGTGGATGTTTCCGTCCGCGGTGACTTTGAAATCGGTGTACGACGACGCGGTTATGTCTTCCCCTGAGGTCGACCACTCCGAGCCGCCTCCCCACCCGGACTGCCCGCCCTTCGTATGTTTGTTTCCCCACCTCAGAGCCTTTGTGTCTTGCAAAGGACACGCGCCGGCGAACCCTTCATGTATTTGGGATAAGCACCCAGCCGGTGCGTCCACCGCGCAATCGCCGCTCGCGACCATATGAGCTCGTTTCGCTTTGATGTCGTCGAACTCGCTCTTCGAGGTGTACCTCTTGGGATCATACTCGCGCTCGAGGCCGTCGCAGCAGATGTCGTACTTCTTCGTGATAGGGTTGATGGATTTGCGTTTAGCGCAATTGGGATACCCGAATTTATCCCGTCCGCCTCTCCAACCGAGGTGCTTACCCTCGCAACACCAGTGAGGGTCTGCGCAAGAGCCGTCTTTGCATCCGTAGAGCTTCAACGAGCGAGGATCCGGTATGCGAGTCCATCTGCCCTGGGGAATCGGGACGTGGTTCACGAACATGTTCGGCTCTTCGCACCCGTCCGGCAGACAGCGAGCCTTCCACGCGTCCGGGTTGGGCGGCTCGAACGCGGCTCGCGCGGCGATAGCCGCCACGAGATCGGCGGGATCGATCGACGCAGCTCCAAACTGAACGCGCATGTCGTACATGTCGGCGACCGCCGCGGCGGGCAAGTGCGGGGCGGCGAGGCTCCGTGATTTGTCGCCGCCCCCACGGCACTCGTTCCCGCGGCACTGCGTATACACGGGTATGTCTTTGGTCCCGTCAAAGTAAGACCCGTTCGGCGTCTCCACCGTGCACACCTTTTCGCCGCCGACGTACAAGTCCACCGAGGTGGCCGAGACCGCGACGACGAGGGAGTGCCAAGTCTCCGAGTCGATCGATCGTCTCGTCTTGCAAACGCCCACAGAAGCGTCCGATTTCACGCACGAGCTCACGAGCGGACGCGGTTTGTACGACTCCGGCATGACGCCATAGGCAAACATACGGTTCCTTAGCGTGAGCGTGCCGTCGTCGTTGCACATGACCCAATCGGAGAGGTCTTGCTTGAATTTCTTGGCGTAGGAGAACATGCCCCCCATGTTCGTGACCTTGCTCACGTCCCAGCCGGAGATGTCGCCGTTGAAAGCAGAAGCGGAGGAGAACATGTACGCCATGTTCGTGACCTTGCTCACGTCCCACTTGGAGATGTCGCCGTTGAAAGCGGTGGCGTAATTGAACATTCTCTCCATGTTCGTGACGCTGCTCACGTCCCACTTGGAGATGTCGCCGTTGAAAGTCCGAGCGCCATAAAACATTCTCTCCATGTTCGTGACGCTGCTCACGTCCCACTTGGAGATGTCGCCGTTGAAAGCGGTGGCGTAATTGAACATTCTCTCCATGTTCGTGACGCTGCTCACGTCCCAATTGGAGATGTCGCCATTGAAAGCAGAGGCACCATAGAACATTTGATACATGTCGGTGACCTTGCTCACATCCCAGGAGTTCATATTCTCGCAGCCCTTCACCGAGTCTTTGGCGAGACACGATTTAACGGCGAGACGGAGCACATCACCGTTGGAAAATGTTGACATAACGCAATGACCGAGACGGGGCTTGTGCTCCTCCTTCAAATTTGATATGCCCGCTTTAAATTGCGAGAGTTGAAAAGAACGCATGGATTTTTTCGTCAGCTTGCAAAGATTCCAATTCGATAAGTCTTGGTCGAAATTCGAGCTTCCGTAGCCGTAGCTTCCGTAGCTGAATAAATATGTCATTATAGTGACCTTGCTCACGTCCCATTTGGAGATGTCGCCGTTGAAAGCCTTGGCGCCGTTGAACATGTACGCCATGTCAATGACCTTGCTCACGTCCCACTTGGAGATGTCGCCGTTGAAAGCGGAAGCGGAGGAGAACATGCTCCCCATCTTGGTGACCTTGCTCACGTCCCAATTGGAGATGTCGCCGTTGAAAGAGGAAGCGCTGAACATGCCCCCCATGTTCGTGACCTTGCTCACGTCCCACTTGGAGATGTCGCCGTTGAAAGCCTTGGCGTAGGAGAACATCTCCCCCATGTTGGTGACCTTGCTCACGTCCCAGCCGGAGATGTCGCCGTTGAAAGAGGAAGCGGAGTAGAACATGCTCTGCATGTTGGTGACACTGCTCACATCCCACTCAGAGATGTCGACCTTAGGATAGATGCGATGAAACAAATAGGACATGTCCGTGACCTTGCTCACGTCCCATGAGTTCATATCTTCGCAGCCCTTGTTGCCACACTCTTTGACCGCAATTTTTAGCGAAGTCCTGTCGGAGAACGTGCGCGTGTAGATTTTCGCAACCCGCGCGGGCGCGGCGATTGTCAGAGCAGTCGGTTCGTTGTCCGCAAACGCGCTCGCAATCGTCATGCCCGCTGATACGGGTGCTGCTGACGTCGACGGCCGCGTAGGAATCATTTTACCCGTCCCTTTGTCCGTCGCGGCGAGGACGAGTGTGCCGTCCCTGTGCGTGTAGAGCGAGAAGCCCTTGACCGGAATGGCACCGGGCGGCAGATGGTCAATCGCGGAGGGCAGCGGCTCCTTTGCCGGGTCGAACTCGACGCCCACGTGCAGGATGTTACCGACGGTCGCTCCCTTCACCTCGACGTGATAGTTCTCCCAGTCGATCGTAGTCGTCCCGTTGTACACGGGACTGGCGTACTTTAAGCCGTTCGTGTCATGTCCGTACTGCGCCTCTTCCGCGGCAAGCACGTTCGTAGATGGCGGCGACGACGAGTTCTGAAATACCGGCCGAAAGTGGCGCATCCGCACGTACGCGGCGACCGTGAAGCCGTCACCGATGTCGGCCGTCGTGTTCGGGCGCGGAAGGCTCGGCGCGTCCCATTCGTACCCTGACAGCTTCTCCTTGATATACGCCGCGGGTGCAAAGTTTCTCGGAGTAGACCACGGCAGCTGCGGCTCGCGCCATCGCCCGAGGATGAGACGCTTGGACGAAACCCCGGGGAGGGGCGGCGCCGTGACGTTCGCTGAGCCGCGCTCATATGGATTGACCCATCCGGGCTCCCACATGATGACGTAGCTGACGCCGCCGAGCACGTAGGAATGTTGACGAACCTTATCGTAGCGTTTGTCCGAGTTTATCAGCGGTTTCGCCTCAATGTCCGTGCTCTGCTCGTAACTGGCGTACAACGCGTCCAATCCGCCCACAAACAGCGCCCCAGGGTACGCCGGGGAAACGTCAAAATCCAGGAATTCAACCGCGTTCTTTTCAAACGCGTTGCTCTCGCCCTCGAGCGAGCGCGTGAGCAGGCGCCACTCCATGCCGTTCTCCCAAGTCGGGGTCACGTAGCGTCTAAGGTTGCCGCCCGCGTCGGTGTAGTCGTACCCTTGGTCGCCGCACGCGAGCTTCGCGCCGCCTACCGCGATCGGCATTTTCGTCCAGCACCGGCCTCCCCCAACGCGCACGGGCAGCCCGAGGATATTGTACTTATACTCGTGATTTACCTCCGCGGGGGAGCGCACGGTGTCATCCTCGGCGTCCGCGCCGACGACGCCCCAGGAGCCATCTTCGCGCCGATATGCCGCGCCCTCTGGGAGCGTCTCCTTCGCGCGGTACGGGTCCTTCAAAATGTCCGGGCAACTGATCCACCCTGCGCGTAGCGATGCCTCCGACATATCGATCGTGTAAGGATAAACGACACCCCAATGCCGTGTAGGGTTGAGGTTCATGGGAACTTTGTTCGTGCAGCGCACCCATTCCTCGTCACCCGCGTCGGTGGTCCGCGCGAAGTACGTGCCGACGTAGTCATGGTTGCACCACGACGGCCACGGTTGATTGCGCTGCGCCCCGCGCCGTTGATATCGTTTTTCGTCGGCGCAGACGTTGGAGTAGATGAAGTGCACGACGCCGTCTTTTTCGTAAAACTTCAGCGAGTACGCCTTCCCTCTCCGCCGCGTGTTCCTGAAGAAGCCGAGCATCTGCTTCGCGTTCAGGGGCGGTCCCCCGGGGTACGGGCGGATCACGTCCAGCGGCTCGAGCGCGTCCAGCCGCGTCTGCCCGCGCACGGGCGTGGGTTTGTACCCCCCCTTGGGCTGGCCGTACTTCATCTCTGCTTTCGCATCCTCCTTGGAGACGGCGTGCGCGTTGGCGCCGACGTAGCACGACGAGTTGTGATCGCCGCAGTTCTCCATCCGACGCACGCTCTCGTGCGCGGTCTCGACCACTTCCGGGCCCGCGTCTTTATTCCCGAGCAGCGACGACGCGAAGAACCTCCCAAGGTTCTGGGAGGACACGGTCAATACGAGACACGAAGTGAGGGTGACGACGGCGAGGGAGAAGGCGGTGCGGCCGCGGTGGGGCGATCTTTTGGGGGAAATGTGCGGCCGCGATCTCGACCCCCTTCCCGACAGCAGTGGGGTGTCTTCCGACGCGACGGCGACCTCGGCGCGTTCCCCCGCCCAGTCGCGCGTGCTCTCTGCCAGAGATCGCCCCATCCTTCCTTCAGACGTTTCTCGCAAACGCGTCCCTCGTGGATGTGCCGCGCTCGTGGTGGTGAGATGCGAAATCCCCCCGCCCCGCGTTATCGCGCGACGGAATCAGAGAGATCAAACAGTCTGCGCGTGGGCGGCGATGCGGGAACTTGCGTTCGCGTGGCGTGGATACGATCCGTGATCTACCCTATCCGGGTTGGTGTATACACGAGCGGCGGCGGCTGCGGCGAGCGGCGGCGCGTTTGTTTGTCCGAGGGGTAAGGGCAACGACTAGGGTTCGTGCGTTAAATTGTGTAACCTCCTTTTCGTGTGATTTTCTCACGACTACGTGTATCTTCACTTTGATAGCTAGCCAGGGTGTCAAAATAACTTTTTTGCTTTCAGCGTTGGTCGATGTATCGATCAAACAAAATAATTCATCGCGTTTTTTCAAACGATACTTGACCGAGGCGCAACTTCAAGCGCGCGTCTTGGGCGGTGTGCGGGGGTAAGTGAAAACTACGGGGCTTTCCTAATTTGGGAGATCAGTCAAGTTCAGTCATTTCCAGATTTCAGGCGATTTTTTGGGCAAAATGGGGGTCAGGCGACCCTAGACCAAAAACACGGGGAATCGGCCAGGCAGACCCAAAAATGATGGTCTTTGACGGCTTTGAAAAATACTATACACCGAGAAAGTTCCGTCATTCCTATATCCTATGTTGACTATGTATATAATGTATACTCTTTTCTCCCTTTTATATAAATAGTGTAATCCGTAAAGGAGGGAGAGAGAGAACGGATTAGGAGTGTGAGAAAGAAAAAAAAAACATACCCTACAGCCAACATAGCCAACATAGGGTCTGGCGGTCTCCCCCCCTGTCTCAAAAACAGACCCCCCCTTTAGAGACCAAAAAAGCCCTACATAGATATTTGGGTCTGGCTTTCTCTCGTCCTCCGTGCTTGTTTCGTGGATGGTATGAAATGGGGTCTCACAGAAGGCTCACAGAAGGTATAGAAGCCCCACAGAAGACCCCCGATTTTCGATGATTTTCGTGTGATTTTCTAACCCCCCAAATTGGATGATTTTCGTGTGATTTTCTAACCCCCCAAATTGGACGATTTTAACCCCCGAAATTAGATGATTTTCGTGTGATTTTCTAACCCCCGATTTTTGGTTTTGCGACCCCCGATTTAGGTGGTTTTCCCGTGTTTTTGAGGTGTTTTTCAACAGCTCAAAAACACTTCGCAGGGCTTAAAGAGGTGCTACAGAGTTCCGTGATATTTGCGTCAGCGAGGTTCACGGAGATTTGTAGAGGTCTGGGTCGCTACGCTCCAGATACGCCCCCGAACTCCCGTGATTTTCGTAAGGTTTTGGTCTTATTACAAAGCTATAAACTACCCAAGAACTCCCCAATCGTCATCGTCTTCAATTCAGGCTCAAGACCACTTCCGTCGGGTCTAAAGCGGTCAAAAGTAGCCCGACAAAACGGACATTTCCAAAGCTCGTGCTTGAGACCTGGCAGTTCATACTTCGGCTTGTAGAAGTCCTCCTGCGTCCAAGTTCCCTTCCAATTCTTCTCCACACAACAGCTACAGATGAAGTGGTCGCACTTCATACAGGTAATATTGGTGTCGTCAAACATCATCGTCGGCGTCTCCTTCCTCACGCAGTAAGGCACATCACAAACCTTCCCTGCCGTCTGCTTGTTTCGCTTATTTTTTTTGTTGTTCGGCATTTTTGGACTTATTTTTCGTTTTGAGGCGACCTCACTTAGGTTTCCAATTTTCATTTTTTTGGCTTGTATAAAAACCCTAAAATTGATACAAAAACACCTATTAAATTAGGTTTTGATAGGCGAGTACTACGCCCTTTAAGCCCTGAATTAGCGTTGATGCGACAGAGTGAAATGAACCCGAAGGGTTCAACCCTTTAAGCTCCGTCAATTCACGCTAATTCAGGGCTTAAAGGGCGTAGTACTGTAGTTGACGAAAGATGAAGCGCGTAACAACGACGATCGACGTTTACGAATAACGATCAGTCGCCCCTCCGCGCTTCTCCCCCGCTCGAGCGACGCCCCGGAGCGGTCGCGCTCGCGCTCGCGAATGTCGTCGCCGCCGAGCGAAGAGGAGGAGGGCGGCGAACGGATGGAGGGCTATCGCACCGTCGAGCTCCCCGACCCGGACGCGACGGCGCCGTTCGAGTGCTCGTTCGATGACTTCGCGCGCGATCGCTCCGCGTCCGCCGACGCGGACGCGGACGCTTCCGACGCCTCCTTCGTCCCGCACGCGGAGTTCGCGCTCGCGACGAACGACCCGGACGACCCGGACGATCAGGAGATGCTCACGCGCAACGCGCTGTCGCTCCTGCGCGCGCTGATCCCGGCGTGGACGTCGAACGGATGGGACGACGTCCTCGACGTGACGCTGACGCCGATGACGGGCGGCGTGACCAACGCGCTGTGGCTCGCGTCGCCGCTGCAGGGGGAGGAGTACTACACGGAGAAGCTGCCCGGATACAGGGAGCCGCACGCGACGCACGCGCCCGTGGTGCTGCGCGTCTTCGGCGACGCCACGGCGCGGTTCTTGGAGCCGTTCCCGCGGACGACGGAGCACGAAGCGCTCGAAGAGATCACCGCCGCGGGGTTCGGCGCGAAGTGTTTGGGGACGTTCGTCAACGGCCGCGCGGAGGCGTACCTGCCGAACGTCCGACCGCTGACGCCGAGGGAGATGGCGGACCCGATCGTCGCCGCGGCGATCGCGCGCGAGGTGGCGCGGTTCCATCGCGTGAAGTGCGCGGCGCGCGGGTTCGACCCGGAGAGAGAGGAGGAGAAGGCGGGCGGCGGCGGCGGCGGCGGCGGCGCGGCGGGGACGTCGGAGAAGACTTCTTCTGGATCCGCGTTGTTCGCGCGGATCCGGTCCTGGCTCGAAAACGCGATATCGTGGAAGTTCGAGACAGAGGAGGCGGACGTGGAGATCGCGCTCGCGAACGATAAGGCGCGCGTCGCGATGCGCCTGGAAGAGCTCAAGGTTGAAATCGACGAGCTCGAGAGGGAGTGCGCCGCGGCGAATTCGCGCGAGGCGCTGTGTCACTCGGATCTACTCTGCGGCAACTTCCTCGTCCCGGAGTCGTGGAACGCGTCCGGCGCGGCCGTCATAACGTCCCCGCCGCCGTCGATGACGCTCATCGACTTCGAGTACGTCCTCCCCGCGCCCAGGGGGTTCGACCTCGCGAACCACTTCTGCGAGCACGCCGGGTTCGAGTGCGATTGGGCCGCGCTTCCGGACGCCGACTTTAAGCGTTCGTTTTGCGCGGCGTACTTGTACGGCGCAAAAGGCGAGGACCTCTCGGGCGGCGGGCACGACGCCGGGCCCGACGCGGTGGAGTCGCTCGTGAGGGAAGCGGACGCGTTCACGGCGGTGAGTCATCTGCACTGGGGGTTGTGGGGCGTGATGCAAGCGACGAGCTCGACGCGGAATAAGGCGTTCGATTACGTGGCGTACGCGAGGAAGCGGATCGACGCGTTTCGCGCGTCGAGGGCGACGGCGCGGAGCAACGCGAAGGAGCTCAGATTCGGCGACGGCGCGCGCGCGGGGGACTTTAAGGATCGCACGGGCGATTTCGTCGCGCTGCGGAAGGCGGCGAAGGCGAAGGCGGCGGCGGCGGCGGCGGCGGCGGCGAAGGAGGGAGGCGGCGAGTGAAAAAAATCAAACGTTTTTTTTTTTACAGCTCGTACGGCGGCGGCGGCGCGGCGGCGCGTCGTCGCGTCGCCGCGCGCGATCCTCCTTCCGTCGTTCGCCGGCGCCTACTCCGCGGTCAGACTCTCCGTGAGGAAACTCTTCGTCATCTCCAGCGTGTCCCCCGCGATCTCTTCCTTCGTCACCGACTCGACGACGTCCCAGTTAAACTCCGTGTCCGCGAAGACGCGTCGCGTCTCGATGATTCGCATCGCGGTGATTCGCAGGTCGTTGTCCGGCTCTCGCATGAGCTTCGCGAGCCACTCGTTCCCGTTCCGCAGCGGGTTCTCGTTCAGGAAGTCGACCATCTTGTAGTACACCGGCGAGCGGTGCCTCGTGCCCGTGAACTGATCGAGGATGACGCGCGTCGCGGCCATCGTGAAGAGGTTTCCGAGCGCGACGCCGGCTTTCCGCTCGGGCGTCATCGACTCCCCGGTCGTCGCGTCGACGAACGCGTCGGGTGGGACGACGAACGTCTCCGGCTCGTCGACGTCGTCGCTGTTCATCGCGCGCGTCTGCGGCGCGAGGAGAAGGAGGAAGAAGGTCGGAAGGCGGAAGAAGGGCGTCAGCGGGGCGGGCTCGCGCGTCGCGTCGGACGGACGGACGGACGAGAAAGGATGGATGCGCGGTTTGGTGATGTTTCATTCGCGCGGGAAGGCGCTCGCGCGCGCACCGTGGTGACGCTCCGCTTCGCCGCGAGCGCGCGTCGCGCCGCGACGCGCGCGTCGAGGCCGCGCGCGCGCGACGCGCCGAAGACTCGCGCGACGCTCGCCGCGCTCGCCATCGCGTCGTCCGAGTCACCGCGTCCGCGCGCGCGCCGTGACCTTTTAAAGCACTCCTACGGTCGCGTCGGCGCGCGTGAGCCACACTCGCGGTCCACGCGGCACTGGCGCCAAAAACGACGACGACCGGAGTGGAGATCAGGCGCGTTCTATGTTTTTCACCCATCGCTCGGTTTCAACACTTGATCGCATACCCTTTCAACTGACCGGTGAACTGTTTTTGTATGGAATGGCCCTCACAGAGCAATCGTAGCATCGCGGGTCGTCGACGCCGCGTCACAAAAACAGATGCGCGCGGCGCCGCACGCGGCGAGCCCCGGACGACGCTGCGCGTTCGTCCGACCTTCGGACCCGTCCTCCGCGCGCCGCGACTTCCTCCTCCCCGCGCTGATCGGCCCCGCGCCCGAGGGCGGTCGTCGACTCGCGGGGCCCGCCGAGAGCTTGAAGTCCTACGCCGCCGAGCTCGCGCGGCGTAACGCCCGCGCTCGATTCGTCGTCGATCTCCAGGCGCGACCATCACGACGGCCGGGACGTCGCGCGTCGTCGCGGTCGCCGCGGTCGTACTTCCTCCCAAACATCGCGCGGCCCATGGGCTGCGCGAGCTCGACGCTGACGAAGACGCGGATATCGCCCGACGGCGATGCGGGGAGAGCGCGCGTCGCGCGCGACAGCGTCGCGAGCGTCGGGAGCGCGGGGGAGGCGCCGCGGGGTCAACGCGCGTTCAGGGAGACGAGGTCGACGACGACGACGACTTCGACGGTCGACGACGACTTCGAGACGCGCCGCGCGCATATCGACCGCGACGCCAAGGCGGCGAGGACCGCGACCGCGGCCGCGGTCGCGGAAGCGCGCGTCGCCGCGCCGCCGATATGCGGACGCGCCGGAAGCGGCGACGACCGGACGATGATGCGTCGTCCGAATCGGAATCGTCCGTCGGTAGAAGTCGACGAGGCGGCCGGATTCGGTTTCAGGCGCGTTCTATCTCACACTGGTTCCCATACGACCCCGTCGGCGTGGTGAACGCCGATCCTTAAGGATTGCCCGTCGTCTCTCTCCGCCCACCCCTCGCTTTCATTCCCCGCCATCGACGCCTTTCAACTCCGCTTCTGACGCCTTTCAACTCCACCCTGACGTTCGCTCGTATGGAACGCCCCTCAGCGGACGGCGCGGAGGCGGACGCGCGCGTTCCCCGAGGCGTTCCCCGAGGCGCGACGTCGTCTCGAACGCGCGCGCGCGCTTCAGCGCGTACGAGACCCCTCCGCCGCCCGCGGTCGTCGCGAGACCGGCGCCGGCGTCCGCGCTCGAGCGCGTCCTCGCGCGAGGCGTCGCCGACGGGCGCGACGCGGACGCGGCGGCGGCGGCGGCGGCGAATCCGCGGCCGTTAGGTGCGTTCTATACACTGGTCCCCATACGACCGCGTTGGCGATGTGGACGCCGATCCTTAAGGACTTTGCCCGTCGCATCTCTCCGCCCACCCCTCGCTTTCATTCCCCGCCCTCGGCGCCTTTCAACTTCAACTGACGCCTTTGAAATCCACCCCGCCATTCGCTTGTATAGAACGACCCTTATTTCGCCGATCGCTCGAGCGCCGCGCGGCGACGCGCTCCTTCGTCGTCGCGCCCGCGCCCGCGGACGCCGCGACGACGGCGTCGAAGCCGCCGAGAGTCGATCATCACGCGTCGTCGTCGGCGGCGGCGGCGGCGTCCGCGCGCGTCGTCGACGACGACGACGAAGAGCCGACGCTGCCCGACTACCCGGGACGCGTCCGCCGCGCGGCGCTGACCGAGTCGACGAACTCGATAAATAACGCGCGTCGCGCCGCCGACGCGCGCCCGCGGCCGCCGCCCTGCGACCCTCGCACGCCGCCGACGGATGTGACGGTTGAACGCCGACCGTTTCAACCGACCGCGCCGACGGTGAAGCCGGAGGCGCTCAGGAAGGGCTCGCCGCCGCGCGTCGTCGCGCCCGTCTCGGAGAAGATGCGGTGCGTTCTGTCTCACACTGGTTCCCATACGACCGCGTTCGCGTTGTGAACTTCATTCCTTAAGGACTTTCTCTCCCGGCGAGGCGATTCTCTCCGCGCGCGCCACGGTTTCGATGCCCGACCGCGACGCCTTTCAACTCAACCTGACGCCTTTCAACTCCACCCCGATATCATCGCTTCGCGTGGACCCTCGACCCCGAGGCGCGCGCGCGCGAGGCTGCCGATGCTTCGCATCCCCGGGCGAAGTTCGTCGAGCTCGAACGCCGCGGCGGCCGCGGCGGCGGCCAAGGCGAGGGACGCGAGGCACGAGGTCACCGAGAAGGTGGGCGCGGCGGGGACGGTCGGTCGAGCGTTCGCGGACGCGGAGAAGCGGAAGACGTCCACGTACTGGCTGAACAAGTACACGCGTCGCGACGCCGGCGTCCGCTGACGTGGCGTATGCTGACATGTCGTCCCGCGATTGGCCGCGCGCGCGGAGATACGCGCCGACCTTGTCCAGCGGCGGCGGCGGAGGGAGGGGGGGGGGGTCATTCATTTCGACGCGGCGCGGAGTACCGACACCTACTGTAGTACCGACTCACTTTTAATTTTTCTTTTTAGGCCACACATTATGATATTTTTCTTTCGGGGGATGCGTTCTTCTCGCGCGCACACCCGCAGACGGAAGGAATACGCTCGGTATTAATACCGCCGCCGCACATCGCGTCACGCCATCGCCGCGCGGTTGCTCTCCGTCGCCGCTTTCGCCACCGCCGGCGCCGCGAGCACGCACCCGATCGTCAGCGCCAGCGCGACGTCCGCGCCCGACGCCACCGCGCTCGCGGCGTCCCACAACGCGCCGTTCTTCACGAACGCGTTGCCCGCGCTGCCGACGAGCGCGAAGAAGAGCGCCCACGGCGCGGTGCCGAGCAGCGTCGACGCGAGGAACGTCGTCGCGGGAACCTTCGTGAGCCCCAACAAGTAGTTCGCCACCGTGAACGGCGCGTGCGGGACGAGACGGTACGCGACGAGCTTCGCGAACGTCCCGAAGCCCTCGCCGCCGCCGTCGCCCTCCAGAAACGTCTCAATCTTCTTGAGCTGGTTCCTCACGAATCGCCGCGCCGGCGCGCCGAACCCCGCGCCCGTCGCGAGATACGACGCGACGTTCGCGACGCCCTTCCGCCGCGTGATGGCGAACGCGATCGCCGCCGCCTCGAGCGCGCCGACGAGCGATATCAACGCGCCCTGCGCCGTCCCGAACATCAACCCTGACGCCGCGTACATCGGCGCGGCGGGGACGAAGGGGATCAGCGACGCCGCCGCCACCGCGGACGCCATCACCGCGGGACCGAACGGCCCGGACGCGGTCGCGACGGACTGCGCCGCGGCGACCCACGCGGGGCCGGACAGCGCGGCGCCGACGCCGTGCGCGACGACGAGCTCGCGCGCGGCGCGCAACGCGACGACGGCGGCGACGTACGCGCACAGCTGCAGCCCCCACTGCGCGTTCATGAGCGCCTCGAAGACGGCCGCGACGCGTCGACGCGCGCCGACGAGGTCGAGAAAGATGCGAATCTTCTCGTTGCGCTTGTGCCGGCGGTACGCTCTCGCGTACTGAAGGTCGCGGAGCTTCGTGTTGGACGCCATCCACCCCCACTCCTCGACGGCGTCCCTGCAGCTCCTCCGCTGCCGCGCCATCTCCGCGTCGTCCACGAGCAGCTCCGTCGTGAGCCTCGCGGCCTCGTCGTAATCCCCGCTCGGGTACAGCTGGCCAACCTCGGGGGTGTTCGTGAGGATGTCCTGGAGCCCGCCCGCGCGCACGGCGACGACGGGGACGCCGCTCGCCATCGCCTCCATGACGACGAACCCCAACGTCTCCGACTCGCTCGGCATGACGAACACGTCCAAGCTCGCGTACGCCGCCGCGAGATCGTCGCCGGTTATCATCCCGGTGAAGTGCGCGTTGGTGCCCGCGAAGTGCTCCTCCAGCTTCGCCTTCTCCGGGCCGTCGCCCACGATGGCGAGGTTCGTACCCTCCGGGCACTGAGGGTCGTTCCGTACGAGCGAACGTCGGGGTGGAGTTCAAAGGCGTCAGGTGGCGTTGAAAGGCGTCGAGGGCGGGGATTGAAAGCGAGGGGTGGGCGCAGAGAGACGCCGCCAAAAGTCCTTAAGGATCGGCGTTCACCACGCCGACGCGGTCGTATGGGGACCAGTGTATAGAACGCACCTTGGCGAGAATCTCCTTCAGCGCGTAGAGATTCTTCTCCGCGCCGAGTCGACCGACGCAGCCGATGATCTTGCCGCCCTTCCGCCCCCCGCGCAGCCTCGCGCGCATCTCCTCCGAGCGAAACTTCGGGTTAAACGCGACGGTGTCCACGCCCTTCTGCCACACCTCGAGTCTCGGGCACCCCTCGCTCTTCAGCTCGTCCTCCAAGATCGTGGACGTGACCATCGTGACGTCTGACGACGAGGGCCGTTCCATACGATAATATGGAATACATTCACCGGTCAGTTGAAAGGGACCCACGCGATCAAGTGAGTGTTGAAACCGAGCTAAGATGGGTGAAAAACGTTTGGAAAACCACCGAGAACGCACCCGACTTGGACGTCCACAGGCGGATGAAGTCCCACATCGGCTTCACGAGGAACGTGCTGCCGGTGTACTGCGGGATGTAGTGCGGGATGTGCGTGTGGTACGACTGCACGAGCGGGATCTTGTACTTCTCCGCGAGCCCGGTCGCGGTCCAGATGAGCGCGCCGGGGGAGGAGCAATGGATCAGGTCTGGCGGGTTCGTTCTGAGGGTCGTTCCATAAAAAAAATGTTCATCGGTCAGTTGAAAGGGGACGCGATCAAATGTTGAAACCGGGCGATGGGTGAAAAACGTTTGTAAAGAACGTACCTGAACAGCGCCTCTACCCTCGGATCTCTCGCGTACGACAACAAGAGCGTGTTCCCGGGGTAGAACGGCAAGGCGAAGCCGTGGAGGCCGATGACCTCCGCGCCGGCGTACTCCGCTGGCGGGTTCCGGTCCGGGGTGATGACGACGACGTCGTCGCCGAGCTCGGTGAGGTTCTCGATCAGGCGGAGGAATCGATTTTTCATCCCGCTCACGTGCGAGAACGGCGACGGCTCGACGAAGACGACGATGCGTCGAGGCGCGCGCGTCGCGCCCGCGGGGACGCGACCGTCCGCGTCCACCTCCGCGAGCCACGCGTCGGTTGGGTTCGTCGCCGCGGGCGGCGGCGCGAGGACGACGCGACGGCGCGAGGACGCGCGTCGGCTCGTCGTCGTCGCGAGATCGACGCCGCCTGGGGTGGAGGAGGAGGATAAACGCGCGCCATCTTCATTTCTCGAGGCCGCGGCCGCGCGAGGAAGGCTGCCGGCGACGCGCGACGTCGCGCGGACGCGCGCGAATTCGGGCGGCGCGATCGCCGCGACCGTCGCGGAGCGAGACGTCATCGCCGCCGTGAGCCGCGAAGCGCTCCGCGGGCGTGGAGTGCGCCGACGCCCGCCGAGGCGCGCGAAGGAATATCTCGCCAGCGAGGCGCGCGAGCCACTCGTCGTCGAAGTGAAAGTTGGCACCTGATCTGACCGCGTCACAGGCGCCGACGCCGCCGGCCGTCCTCTCCTCGCGCCGCGAGCATGGGGAACGCGTCGTCGACGTCCGCGCCGTCCGCGGCGCCGGCGCCGAACCCGCCGCCGTCGCGCCCGCCGAAAAACCCGCTCGAGCGCGTCTTCGGCCCGCCGCGCCGCGACGGCCCGCTGCGCAACCCGGGATGGGACGATCGCGTCGCGCGGACGACCGCGGCGGGGTTCTTCGCCGGCCTCGCCGGCGGCGGCGCGCTCGCGGCGTACCGCGAGTCGATCCACTACGCGACGATCATGGCGAACACGTCGGGGAACTGCGCGGTCGTCGCGGGGATGTTCGCGTCCGGGAAGGAGGCGAGCCGGCTCGTGCGGCAGAGCGACGGCGACGCGATCGACGCCTTCGTCGGCGGATTCGCCGCGGGCGCGGTGTGCGCGTCGTGGTGGCGCGACCGCAGGTCCGCGCTCGCGGGCGGGCTCGCGCTCGGGTCGCTCTGCGGCGGTATCCACTGGATCCTCGACCCGGCGTCGGACGCGAGCGCGCCGGCGCGCGCGCTCGGCTTCGCCGTCGACGACGGCGGATGGATGGCGCCGACGTGGTTTCCGGTGGTGCGTTCTATCTCACACTGGTTCCCATACGACCGCGTCGGCGTGGTGAACGCCGATCCTTAAGGACTTTTCCCGGCACATCTCTCCGCCCACCCCACGGTTTCAAACCCCGCCCTCGACGCCTTTCAACTCCAACTGACGCCTTTCAACTCCACCCTGACGTGACTCCTCAGCGACGCGTCTCGGAGATGGAGACGCTGGTAACGGCCGACGAGGTGGCGTTTCAGGCGCGCGTGCGAAAGGTCATCGACGGGCGCGCGAGCGATGCGGAGGCGCGCGCGACGCGGGAGGAGTACCTCGCGCGGAGAGAGATGGAGGCGTTGAGACGCGCGGGGAGGCGCGACGACGCGGATGCAGTCGCGCGGCGCGTCGTCTCAGGCGCGTTCTGTTATCACACTGGTCCCCATACGATCGCGTCGGCGTGGTGAACGCCGATCCTTAAGGACTTTCTCTCCCGGCGCGCGCGTCTCTCCGCCCATCACACCTCGCTTTCGATCCCCGCCCTCGGCGCCTTTCAACTCCGCTTCTGACGCCTTTCAACTCCACCCCCACATTCTTCGCCCGTACGGAACGACTCTCAGCGGGGGAGCGGGCGAAGCGCGAGCGCGCGAGCGAGCGCGGAGGGTGGTCACGCCCCGAGGGCTGAGACGACAACCGACGCGTCCGTCGCGGCATCTCCGCTCTTCTCTTCTTTCGCGTCGTCGAGCGCGCGCGTCTCTGACTCATGCCAGCTAGGGTATATGGTAGAATGAAAGATGAATGAATGAAACGATTCGCCGTGCCGCCGCCGCTGTCGCTCACGTCAGCATCGCGGGCGGGGACGACGCGAGCATCACCCGCCTGAGCGTCCCGAGCGTCCCCGACGCGCCGTCGCCCGGCAGCGATATCTCGAACGGGAACGAGACCGCGCCCGCGCGCGTCACCGGCGGCACGTGCGCCACGCGTTCGTTCGCCAGAGTGAGCGCGTGCGTGATCGCGCCTCGAATCTCGTCCCGGAGCGCGAGCGACCGCTCCTCTCTCGCCCTCGCCGCCGCCGCGTCGTCGCCCTCGCCGCCGTCGCCGCTCTCGAGCGTCACCTCGATAGGTATCCGCCACTGCTCCCACGCCCCGGACCCGGACCCGGACCCGCCCAGACCGCCGCCGCGGTCGCCGCGGTCGCGCTCGAAGAACGACACGCAGACGCGCGCGTAGATCTCTCGCGCGTCGCCGCCGCGCCGCGCGACGTCGCGGCCGCGCTTCGCCGTCCACGACGCGAACGCGCCGAGCCGCGCCTCGACGACGCGCTCGACGTCCGCGTCGCCGCAGGTGACGTACGTCAGGTCAGGGAACAGCGCGCTGTCGACGTCCGATGGCGCGCACGGGCCGAGCGCGCGCGCGAGGAGGATGGTGTGCGTCAACGCGCGGAGCGCCTCTTTCGCTTGGCGCGCCTCGCACCGCAGGGGGGGGAGGGTGAAGACCTCGCAGTTCATCTCGACGCGACGCGGAGGGAGGGGGGGGGGGGGGAGGTCGGACGACTCCGCAGCGCGCGCGCGGAGGAGACGACGCGACGCCGGGCCGAGCGCGCGCGGATCTGAGGGCGACGTGCTGTGCTCGTGTATCAGGTGCGTTCTATACAAACGTGTTTCACCCATCGCCCGGTTTCAACACTTGATCGCGTCTCCTTTCAACTGACCGATGAACTTTTTTTGTCAAATGAACGACCCTCGGAGACGACGACAGCGACAGCTGACGAAAGAATACTTTTGGTTTTTTAAACGTAACGCGCGCCGCAAAGACCTCGCCCTCGCCCGCCGTCCCGTCTCCTACGCGTACGCCGCCTTCTTCTGCAACAGCGCGTTCAACTCGTCGTACACCTCGTCCACGCTGTGCATCAGCGTCCCCACGTCGCTCTCCGCCTCTCTCGCGTCGACGTACTCGCGCATCCCGTGGTTCCCTTGCTCCAGCACGCGCATCTTCACCTCGAGCTTCTCGAGCTCCTTGTACGCCGCGTTCGATCGCAGCTGCTCGCGCTTCGCGTCGTGCGCCTTGACCTTCGCGTCCACGAGCTCCCTCGTCGCCGCCTCGCGCTGGCCGTACGAGACGCGCTCGCGCTCGAGCCTCGCCTTGGTCTTCTCCGCGTCCGCTCGAAGCCCGTCGACGTCGTCGAAGCCCTTCATCTCCGCGTTCAACGCCACCGCCTTCTTCTCCAGCTCCGCCAGCTCCGTCGCGATCTTCTCCTCGAGCGTCCCGATCTTCTCGAGTTCCGCCTGGCGCAAGGCTTTCTCCTCCTCGAGCCGCGCGGACGTCGCCGTCGCGTGTCCGACTTGCGTCTTTTTATACTCCAACTCGCCTCGCATCGCGTCGAACCGCGCCTTGTCGGGGACGTTGCCCTTCACGAGTAAGTTCCTGGAGATCTTCTCCAGCAGGCGCACGATGGCGTCCTTGCGCGCGGCGACGTCGTTCAGCGCCGCGGCTCTCGACCCGTCGAAGCCGTCGATGAACGCGTTGAGCTCCTTCTCTTGGCTCAGAAGCTTAGGGTCGAGGGTCCGTGCGGGCGAACGTCGGGGCGGAGTCGAAAGGCGTCAGGGGTGGAGTTGAAAGGCGTCGAGGTGTGTGCGTCGGGATTGAAAACGAGGGGTGGGAGGAGAGACACGCTGGGAGAGAAAGTCCTCAAGGAACGGCGTGCACCACGCGGACGGGGTCGTATGGGGACCAGTGTGAGCATGAACGCGCCTTGTCGTACTTGTCCGCGTCGTCGAGCCCGCCCTCGCCGCGTTGGTCGTTCAAGTCAACCCGCACCTCCTGCAGCTTGCTCTCGCCCTTGCGAACGAGCTTCTGGAGCTCCGCGATCTCAATCTCCGCGGCGGCGATCTCCTCGTTGTGCGCGCGTATTTGCTCCTTGAGCCGCGCGCGCTGATCGCTCGGCGACAGCTTTAAGCGCTCCTCGTCCGTCTTCAACTCGCGCTTTCTCGCCGTCAGCGACGACAGCGTGTCCCGCAGCGCGAGCTCCCGCTGCTTGATCTGATCCCGCGCGAGCTCGTGCTCCGCGGCGGACAGCTCGCTCGACGCCTTCTCGAGCGCGGCCTCCATCTTCGCCACCTCGGCCTGCAACGTCGCGTTTCTCTCAGCGAGCGATTCGTATTCGCGTCGCCGCGCCGGCGGCAACTGGTCGATCATCCCTTTCGTCTTCTCCTGGTAACTCCGCACCTGCGCCTCGAGCTCTTTCGCGGACTGCTCGACCGCGATGCGCTCGTTGAACACCGCGTCCACGCGCTTTCGGTCGTCCGCGTTGCGCGCGGTCGTCTCCGCGGCGAGTCGCGCGATCTCGTCGGGGCCCGAGCCCACTCCTGATCCCGACCCGCCGCCGCCGCCGCCGCTCGCCGCGACGGCTTCCAGCACGATGTTCTGCTCCGCGAGCCGCGCCCTGAGCTCGGCCACCTCGCGCGTCAGCGCGTCGTGCCTGCGCGTGATGAAGTCGTGCGCGCTGTCCCCCGCGCTGCGGCTCTCGAGCTCGTCGCGGAGCTTCGAGCTCTCCGTCTGCACCTCGCGGTTTTTCCGACGCAGCCGGTTTAAAAAATAACTCGCGTCGAGGACTCGCCTGCCGCCGTGCACGCCGCCGGTCGGCGTCGCCGCGCCGAGGGCGGCGCGCCCCCCCGTCGCCGCCTGCGTCGCCGGGCGCGAGAGGGACGGCATCGAGCCAGCGTTCGGTCGGAACCCGGCCCCGCCGCCGTTGAACCCGGTCCCCGGTCGCGTCGTCGTCGTCGTCGGCCCGCCGCGGAGAGACGCGGTCCCGGGGCGCGGCGGCGCGGGGACGCTCGCGATGCTCTGCGGCACGGACATCCCGCCTGCGGGCGACGAAGACGAACGCGTCGGAGGCGCGGGCGCGGGGGCGGGGGGGGGGGGGCGTCGGTCAGCGGGGTGGGCACGAGAGATCGGTAGATCGATCGATCGAAGAGGGAAAAAGTCATTCCGCGCGACGACGTCTGGCGGTGAAGGGCCTCGCGAGCGACGCGGGCGAAGGGCGACGCGCACCTCGCGAGAGTGCGGAGCGCGGACGCTCCATCGCGGCGGCGCGATCGAGCGAGCGCGCGCGCGCGGTGGTGTGCGCGGAGAGGAACAGGACGCGTTCAAATCGGCCACCAAGAGACAGGACGCGGACGACGGAACAGGCGGAACAACCGAGGCGCGCCAAGCGGCAGCGATGTCATTTCTTCGCGGGCGTCTCGTCTCCTGGGCGCACTCTCCGACGCGCACGGTCGGACCCCCGCGACCGTCCCCGCGGCGCCACACTCCCCCGCGAGAGCGCACGCCGGCCGCGAGAGCGCGCGTCGTCCGCTCCGACTCGGTCCGGCGTCGAACACCGCTCCTCGCGACCGACCGTAATCCTCGAGATCCTTCCTCGAGATGGCGTCCGAAACCCCGCGTACGTCGTGCGCGGCGCGACGCGTGGCGACGATGACGCGCCACCTCACGCGCGCGCCCGTCGCCGCCTCCCCCTCGTTCTCCTCCTCCGGCGGGTTTGCCGTCGCGATCCTCGGCGCCGCGGGCGGGATCGGCCAGCCGCTGTCGCTCCTCATGAAGCGCCATCCGATGGTGACGAGCCTCCGCCTCTTCGACGTCGCGCCGCTCGCGAAGGGCGTCGCCGCGGACGTCTCGCACGTCGACAGCGCCGCGCGCGTCGACGGCTTCGTCGGCGATACGCAGCTCGGCGCGGCGCTCCACGGCGCGGACGTCGTCCTGATCCCCGCGGGCGTCCCGCGGAAGCCCGGGATGACGCGCGACGACCTCTTCAACGTCAACGCGGGCATCGTTCGCGACCTCACCGCCGCCGTCGCGACGCACGCGCCGGCGGCGATACTTCTCGTCATCTCAAACCCAGTCAACTCCACCGTGCCGATCGCCGCGGAGGTTTTGAAGACGCGCGGCGTGTACGACCCGAAGAAGTTGATGGGCGTGACGCACCTGGACGTCATGCGTGCGCGGACGTTCGTCGCGGACGCCGTCGGGGGCGAAGAGGATGGCGAACGCCGCCGCGCGTCAGGTGCGTTCTATACACTGGTCCCCATACGACCGCGTTCGCGTGGTGAACGCCGATCCTTAAGGACTTTTGCCGGCGCATCTCTCCGCCCATCCCACGGTTTCAATACCCGCCCTCGACGCCTTTCAACTCCACCTGACGCCTTTCAACTCCACCCCGACTTTCGCTTGTATAGAACGGCCCTCGTACGACGTCCCCGTGGTGGGCGGGCACGCGGGCGTCACGATACTCCCGCTGTTGTCGCAGACGAAACCGTTCCCTCGCGGCGGTTTCAGCGAAAAGGAGATCGCATCGCTGACGGACCGGATTCAGAACGGCGGGACCGAGGTCGTGGAGGCCAAGGCGGGCGCGGGCAGCGCGACGCTCTCGATGGCCGCCGCCGCCGCGGAGTTTGCCGATCTCGCGTTGCGAGGTTTGGCCGGCGAGCGCGGCGCGTGGGGATGCGCGTACGTCGACGGCGGCGGCGGCTCCGAGATCAAGGCGCGCGGCTTGGAGTTCTTCGCGTCCAAGGTGAGGCTCGGGCGGCGCGGCGTGGAGCAGATCGCGGGGCTCGGGCGGATGACGCCGGGCGAACGCGTTGGGTTGGAGAAGGCGTGCGAGGAGCTGCGAGGGTCCATCGCGAAAGGGAAGGCGTTCGTCGCGGCGGGCGGCGGCGACGGCGGCGGCGCGAAGAAGTGAAGCGAGGGAGGGAGGCGATACTCCGCGCGCATTCGCGCTGTCGGCGTTGTTTTCAACCAGATGCGTGTACACATAACAAACCTCATTCATCACGGAAGCGCTTCGCGTCGCGTCGAATCGAGCGTTCACATCTCGTCGAGGATGGACGCGATCTCCGCGAAAACCTCCGTCTTCGCGCGGTCGCCGTCGATCTCTCTGATCTTCCCCTCGTACCTCCCGACGACCGCCTCCACGTTCGAGTGATGCACGGCGAGGCGGTTCTTCGCCTTCTCCTCCGTGTCGTCCGATCGAATCGTCAGCCTGTCGACGACGTCCTCCGGCGGCGGGAAAAACTTCACGTGGTAGATGGCCCCCGTCTCCGGGTCCAGTCGTCTCCCCACCACGCGCTCGATGAGCATCTCGTCCGGGACGTTCAGGAGGAGGAACACGTCCGGGGTGATCCCCTCCTTCTCGATCGCGTCCGCCTGCGACGCGCTGCGCGGGTATCCGTCCAGGAGCCACCCGTTCTCCTCAGCCTCTTCGCAATCCAACGCGTCCTTCACCATGGTCACGACGACCTCGTCCGGCACGAGGTCGCCGCGATCCATGTACGCCTTCGCCTCGAGCCCCGCCGGGGTGCCCTCCGCGACGGCCGCGCGGAGGAGGTCGCCCGCGGAGATGTGCACGAGGCCGAACTTCTCGACGATGAGCTCGCACTGCGTGCCCTTCCCCGACGCGGGCGCGCCGGCGATGACGACGCGCTTGGGCGTCTTCGTCGCCGCGGCGAGCGCGACGACGGCGGAGGCGCGATCGCGAGGAGACGACGATCGCGCGGGGGCGCGCGCGCGCGCGCGGAGCTCGGCGCGCGAGGCGTCGCCCCCCGCGGCGAAGCGCGCGCGCGGCGTCGCGATCGCGGACGACGCGGTGAGGGTGAACGATGCCATTTTGGTCGGCGTTGGCGGCGTGTCGGCTCGACGCGCGAGGGCGGAAGTGGCCGGCGGCGACGGCGTTATCCACGGTGTATCCAGGGTGTCGACGACGACAAGTGGCGCTGCATCTGCACGCGCGCTGCCATTTTCTTCCATCGCCTCGGGCGGCCAGCGGCTCCACGCGCCGCGCGGCGATGGCGGCCGCGGTCGCGGTCGCGCCGCGCGCCGCGCCGCGGAGCGCCGTCGCGTCGACGGCGGCGGCGCGGTGGCGCGGCGTCGGACGCGCGGCGGCGGTCGCTCGAGGGCCGTCGTCGTCGTCGTCGCGTTCGTCCTCCGCTCGGCGCGGGTCTCCGTCGTCCGCGAACGACGACGAGGGCGAGACCGCGTCGCCGTCGTCGTCGTCGTCGTCGTCGTCGCCCTCCGCGGCGGCGTCCGAGAAAGCCGCGGCGCTCCGCGCGGAGCTCGAGGACGTGCGCGCGCGCGCGAAGCGCGTCATCGCGCGCGGCGAGCGCCTCGTCCACCGCGGCGTCGAGCTCGACGCCGCCGCGATTCGAATCGTGCGCGACGCGAGCGGATGCGACGACGACGCGCGCGCGCTGCTCCGAGCCAAGGCCAAGTTGAAGGGGACGCTGTCGCTGACGACGGACCGCGCGGAGGCGCTCGCGCGGCTCGCGGAGGCGCTCGAGCGCGCGATCGTCGCGTTGGAGGAGCGCGCCGCCGCGGAGGAGGAGGAGGATGGGGGCGTCGACGGCGCCGTCGTCGTCACGTTCGCCACCCCCGGTCCGGACGGCGGCGACGACGACGTCGCGGAGACGTCCGTCGCGTTGCGCCCCGGCGAGAACGTCCTCGCCGCGGCGATGCGTCTCGGCGTCGTGTCGCGCGACGCCGCGAGCGCGCTATGCCTCGAAGGCCGGTGCGACGGATGCGTCATGGAAGTCGTTCGCGTCGGCGACGACGGCGGCGGCGGCGCGGCGACGCTGCGGACGTGTCAGGCCGACGTCGGGGACGACGAGCTGGGGGGGCGCGCGACGTCGGCGGTGCGGCTGTGGTGGGATCCAGACGGCGTGGGCGACGCCGCGTTCGAAGGCGGAGGGGCGTGGATGGACGAGGAGGACGACGAGGAAGACGACGACGACGCCGACGAAGAGGAAGAGGTAGAGGGGGCGGCTGACGAGGACGATCCGTTTCAGACGGGGCGAGGCGTCGGCGCTCGAGGAACCCGGGACGCCGCCGAGGGGGACGCGCCGCAGGACTGGGAGACGTTCGAGGGGAGCAAGTATTATCGCGAGTAGGTAGTTCACTAGTCTCATCACGTCGCGCGTATATCATAGACTACGCTATCTTCTAGTAAATAAAAACGCTCCTCGCGCGTCGGTTATCGGTTTCTTCTCACACCCGCGAGTCGTACAGCAGGTCCTCCTCCTCGACGTCGTCGCCGTACTTGAGATACGCGACGCCGTCGCCCTTCCTCTTCATCTCGTGCAGATGCACCTTCCGCCCGGACGCCTGCGCGCTCTGCACGTGCTTCAACTGCGCGGCGTACAGCGACATCCCCGGGTCGGGCTTCCCGCGGAACGTCACCGCGAGCCTCTCGTAATGCCGCAGCGCCACGACTTGCGCGTCGTCCACGATGGGCTCCTCCGCGTCGCGGCCGTCGACGACGCGCCTCGTCTCCACGCGAACCAAGTTCTCCACCTTGTAACAAAATTTCAGCGCGAGCTGCTCTCGGAGGCGCAACACCGTTCGCTCCTCCAGCGATACCTCTCGGTCGTGGCCCCGGCCTTCCTCGCGCGCGAGCAGCGTGATCGCGTTGGTTTGCCGCGGGATGCGCTTCCCGCCGTCGACGTCGACGAGGACGTCGTTTCTGTCGAGATCCGCGGCGAGGACGGACCGGAGCTCGCGCGGGAAGATCCGCGCCGCCGTGCTCGCGGGCTTGGCGATGGTGATGTCCGCCCATCGAAGGACGCCGTTCTTGACGTCCACCATCATCACGATCCGCGGGACGTAGTGCTCCCAGAGCCTCGCGCCCATCTCGTCGACGTACGAAAACTCAGTCATGACGGCGTCGCCGTCCGCCTCCGAGGTGATCGTCTCCGTCTGCAAGCCGCGCTCGCGGAGGTACGCGTACAGTTTCGCGACGCGGATCTTCGCGTCGAACGTCGCGTGGAAGTGCACCGTGCCCGCCGCTTGCTCGGTCTTGAGGTACACGAACGCGTACGTGGCGACGGCGAGGATGAAAAACGCCGTCATGTTGATCCAAAACCACGGCGCGTCCGGGTGGAGGATGAGCGGATACGTCACGTCGTACTTGAGCCAGCTCTGCCAAATCACCGTCCACTCCCCGGTCGTTCGATCGAGAATCTTGAACGCGAGCCATCCGCACGCGAGCGCGGTCATCGCGTCGCGAGCGCTGATCGGGTTCGTCTTTTTGATCGCCGACGCGCACTCGACGTACAGCTGTTTCGTGTCGAGGTTGACTTTTCGCTGCAACGCGCGCGCGACGTTCGTGATTTGCCCATCCAGAAAGCCGATCTCGTTTCGAATCGCCGCGACTTGCTTGTCGCAGTCTTGAACGCGCCCTCGCAAGTTCCGCTCCATCTGCGGGATCTGCATGATGTGGTACAGGCGCTTCCCCGCCTTGGTCGTCGGGACGTTTTCGGGCGCGAGCGCGTCCTTCTCCACGGAACTCGCGAGCGATCGCATCACCTCCTCGAGCATGATGCAATCCTCGTTGATGACGCCTAAATTATTTCGAATCGTCGCCACGTGCGTCGGGTCTTCGTGGTACTTATCGATCATCTCCTGCTGCGTCTTGAGCTGGTCCGCCATGATGAACAGTCGGTTGAAGAAGTTCATCACGAAGTCCTCTCGCGACTTCAACGCCAGGTACGCGAGCAGGAGCGTCTCGTGTCGGATGCAATCGGGGCCGGCGAATAAGACGCCGGCGTCGCCGAAGATGACGACGTCGTTCTCCGTGATGTCGAACGCGTGCTGGGTGTCCCCTATGACTTGCTTCAGCTCCGCTTCGAGGGCGTCGCCGTCGAGGTATCGTAACGCTCGGAGCTTCGGGGTTATTTTCTCCGCGATGAACACGTTGACTTTGTTCCGGTTCTCCTGGTTCCCGTTGAACACCATCCGCAACATGTTCTGCTGGTGCTTCGACGTGAGCGACTCCGTGACTTTGCTGCTGTCCTGGTGAATGTCCGTCATCACGCGCGCGAGGTTATCCAGACTCAGGTCGTTCAACACCGAGTCCATGATCGCCTCGACTTTCAACCCGTACAACGTCACGCCGTCGCGTTGATACCGAATACCGAAATTTTCAACCTGCACGATGCCCTCGTCCTCGGGGAACTCCACCTCCGCCTCGATGTTGATCCACTGCGCGGCGTCGAAACTGTTCACGTTCACCTTCGTAAGACCCACCGGCACCTCCAGCGTCGTCTCCGTGCTGTGCGCGTCGATCACGCTCGAGAAGTACCCCCCTTTGATTCGCTCGGCGGCGCCGAGCTTCTGCGTCAGCTGCATGATCTGATGAGGGTCGTCACGCGCGAAAGCGAAGCGTTCATCGGTCAGTCGAAAGGGGGGAGGGCGATGAACTGTCTGTCGAAACCGAGGGGCGGTGGGTGAATGACGAAACGAAACGAAACGAAACGAAACGATCGCGCAGAACGCACCTGGTTACACCCGAACGGAATCCACTCGCCGACGAGGACGACGAGCCGCGACAGCGTCACCTGCACGTCCAACTCGTCCAGAACGTTGCTGCCCCCCAGCGCCGCCTCCCCCGCGCGGTGCGCGTTCGACGCGAGCGGCTTCGAGAGGTCGCGCAGCGTGTAAGGGAGGTACGGCGACGACACGTACGACACGTCCTCCGTCTCCGTGATTCCGCTGTCGACGCAGTATCCGAGCGCCGACTTCAGCTTAAACGCGTCGTCTTCCCACGACACCATGAGGAGCGACCCGGTCGGGTCGTATATCACGTCGTCGATCTCGTCGCGCTCCGCGGACGTGAGCGGGGACTCGCGCAGGGACGCCATCCCGGCTTCGGTGATTTGGTACGCCACCACGGGTTGCTTGTCGTGCGCGATGGAACGCATCGCGCGCACGAGCTTCGCCTCGACGAGATCGTCGAGATTATCGCGCCCCTCTTGCGTCGTGTTCAAGTACACGCGCGATCCCGCGACCATCGCGCTCGCGGGAGCGTAGTCGAAGTCGAAGACGCCCGCGACGATGAGCTCGTACATCAGCACCAGAAGCGGTTGGAATCGAACCCAGAGCTCCTTCTCCGTCGGTCGCTCGGCGTAGCGCGAGTATTTGCTCACCAAGTATAACACTTTGTAGTGCTCCACAGTCAGCGCGTCCATCATCTCTTGCGTGAGCAAGTGCCCGAACTCGACGTCGCCGACGTTGCTGAACGAGATGTCGTACCCGCCCGTGGGGCGAAACGCGTCGAACGTCAGCGTGTCGTTGTTGATGGAGTGCATCTTCCGTCGAAAATTTTCGCCGTGTTCGTAAAACGGCTCGTGGTCCGCGATCTGCGCGGTGACGAACAGCCACGCGTGTATCATGCTGTGCAACAAACCTTCTTTCGTCATGTTCGTGAGCTTAAACTTTCGCATCGCCTCCGGCATGCGTATGTGCACGCTGCGTCGCTCGGCCGCGCCGCGGCGGCGTTCGACGTCGCACGCGACGCCGCACATCAAATTTTTGTGTTCGCCGTGCCACCACCCGGGCACCGCGGAGCACAGGCAGTACCGAAACTCGTTCCCCTCGTGCTCGTCGCGCGAGATCCACCCGAACGTGACGTTCTCTGAGAGCTTGCTCTCGAAGTACGTGGAGTTGTAGTACTCGAAAAGCGCGTTCGCGTCCGTCCAGTTGTCGTTGTGGACGTTGGAGAGGTGCACCGCCATGCGTCTCGCTTCGAGCGCTCGCTTCGCTTTGCCCCAACCCGCGCCCCTGGGCTTCTTCTCGCCGCCGCCGCCGCCGTCGTCGTCGTCGTCGTCGTCGTCTTCGAACTTGACGTTCACGCGCTTGTCGAGCTTCTCCGAGATCTCGCGCTCGGTGTTGTCCGCCCTGCGGTTCGGCCGTCGTGACTCCCTCTGCGTGTGAATCTCGTTCTCCACGCGCGCGCCCTCCTCCGCGACGGTGCCGCCCGACGCGCCGTCGCCGTCCGCGCCGCCGTCGCCGCGCGTTTCCACGCCGCCCTTGCGCAGGCGCTCCTCCACGAGCGCGCGCTGCCTCGCCGCTCTCTGCGCGAGCGCTTTCTCGCGCAACGTCTCGCCCTCGTGCGCGTGTATCGACCCCGCGTCCGCGCGGCCGGAGACGGACGCGGCGTTGTTCGCGTCGTCGGCGACGTCGGCCGAGCCGCGGGGAGCGACGCCGTCGCGTATCGCCGCGCCCCTGGCCCATCGACCCCCGGGCTCGGCGGGCGGCGGCGGCGCCGCGCCGCCGCCGCCGCCGTCGCCGCGGGCGTCGCTCATGACGTGATTCGCGCGCCTCGCCCCGCGCGCCGCGGCTCTGGACGGGGGGGCGCGCGGCGTCGTGATTTCGAAGCGAACGCAACGGTTGGACGCGCGCGCGGCCAGGCGGCCGTTTCTTCAGTCAGGGAATAATCTGGTTCGAACACCCCACGAATTCGATGCGTGTGCGATATGATATGATATGATATGATACAGGCGACAGTCTCGAGAGGAGGCTGGGAGGGCAGACGAGGGCGACGCGTCGTTCGCCCTCTCCCGTCCCCCCCCCCCGTCGTCCTTCTCTTCACGCGGCGTCCGCGCGCGCCGCGAGCAACGATTCGACGGAACCCCCGAATCGCTTCTTCGTCTCGAACGCGTACGGATCCTCCACCTCCACCGGGAACGCGACGCCGCTCGTGTGCTTCTCCACGATGTCCATCATCCCCATTAGGAGTTCGCTCTTAACCTTGAGGTGCGCGTTCAGAGGCATCTTGTGGACGTGCACCTCGACGCCGATCTTGAGGCAGTCGTCCGCGAACCCGGTCAGGTTCACGCGCACGGGGTGACGCCGGTCGTTTGTCTTCGGGTGCGATCGAAGGTACTTCTCCATCTCGTCCGGGATCGCCGGGATCGCGCGGTGGCGGTCCGAGTACCGCACGCGAAACTCGATGATCAACACGCGGTCGGTCATCCGCGTCACGTTGATGACGTTGGCGCCGAGAAAGTACCCTGCGGTTTAAGTTTCGGTTTCGGTCCGATGAACGAACGGCGTCGAAGGCGAGGTTGAAACCGTGGAAACCGCCGAGCGACTGGACGCCGCGAGACGAGGGGTGAAACGAACGAACGCGTCGTCGGTCGGGTCGAGCGTTTTGTAGGTAGGGCTAAAAAGGAAGGGTTCGGGGTTCGCCGCGCACCGTTCGGCACGTAGGTCGGCTTGGTGTCTTTCGCGATGAGCGTCGTCTGGTACCACCCGATCTCTTTCACGAGGTAGTCTGAGGGTCGTTCCATACAAAGCGATGTCGGGGTGGAGTTGACAGGCGTCAGTTGGAGTTGAAAGGCGTCGAGGGCGGGGATTGAAAGCGGGGGGTGGGCGGAGAGATGCGACGGGCAAAGCCCTTAAGGATCGGCGTTCACCACGCCGACGCGGTCGTACGGGGACCAGTGTATAGAACGCGCCTGACACGGACGGCGTCCCGCTGCCCCTGAACCCTTGCCCCCCGGTCACGAAAATCTCCTCCCCGAGCGTGAACGGGCGAAGGATCGCGAGCATCGTCCCTCCCAAAAAGTTCGCCACGACGTCCTTCGCGGCGAGGCCGAACGTCAGACCGCCGACGCCGCCGACGCCGAGGATGCTGCTCGTGGGCATGCCGAGCAACGCCACCGCGCGGGCGACCGAGCTGAGGGTGATGATCGCACCAGGGTCAAATTGAAAGGCGTCAGATGAGATTGAAAGGCGTCATAGGGGCAGTGATCGAAAGCGAGGGACCCTGGGCGGAGAGACACGCCGGGAGATAAAGTACTTAAGAATCGGCGTTCACCGCGCCGACGCGGTCGTACGGGGACCAGTGTGAAGGAGAACGCGCCCGAGCGAGAGCAAGATGGCGACGAGACGCGTGAGGACGATCCGCAACGACGCCTCCGCGATCTTCGCCTTCGTCCTCAACAGCTCCGGGAGCCACCTCTGGTTGCACATGACCGCGACCGCGCCGAGACCGAGCGTGTACACGGCGAGGTCGAAGTCGCCGACGCCGCGGGAGACGACGCCGCCGCCGGCGAACCCGCCGTCGAATCCGAACATTCGCACGACGACGTTATCGCGCGCGTACAGCGTGACCCACACCGCCTGCAGCGTCTTCATCGGCCCTCCGAGCCACCCGAGGAGGCTCTCTTTGAACGAGTTCTCGTCGAACGCGAAAGGTTCGATCTCGCCGGGCCCCTTCTCGCCGCCTTCGTCGCCTTCGCCGCCGCCGTCATCGACGCGTCGTCGCCGCTTTAACCTCCACTCGTACAGCTGTCGCCGCCAATTGTCGATGGCGAGCTGCATGAGCACGATGAGCCACACGTCCTCGATCGACCACGGGTCTTTGATGTGGCGCTCGCACCCGCGCGCGAACGCTCGGATCTCCCTCCCGACCCTCTGCGCGCTCGAGTCGATCGCGCGCGACACCGGCTCCGGGAGCCGAACGATGTTCGGATCGATGCTCGAGACCATCTGCTCGACGCTCGAGACGGTCGCGGTCGCGGTCGCGGACGACGACGACGCGGTCCTCCTCGCCGCCGCGTTCGCGCGCGCCGGCGACGCGAGCGACGCGGCGAAGAGGATCGACGCCGCGAGGACGCGCGCGAACGGCGGCGTGCCGTACGGCGACGCGCGGCGACGCCGCGCGGAGGCGGAGGCGTCGTCCCCCGGGCGCTTCTCCGTCGAATGTCGCGGAGGCGGAGAACCGCGCGGCGGTCGCGCGGGGGACGGCGACGACGACGACGAAGACGAAGAAGACGCGGATGCGGCGGCGACGACGACGACGCCGCGCGCGCGGGCGCCGCGGCGACGCGCGCCGGTCGCGACGACGCGTCGCGGCGGCGCGGAGAGGCACGTCGCGACGCGTCCGTCGTTGTTACGCCGCGCGATGCCGCCTCCTCTGAAGGATAATAAATTAGGGCGAGCGCGCGAGCGCGCGTCGACGACTCCGCGCGTCGCGACGACCGACGCGAAAGTCGTCGTCGTCGTCGTCGTCGTCGTCGTCATCGCGCGCGCGGTGTTCGCTCGCGAAGCGAACGAGCGACGCGTCGCGCGAGCGGCGCGTCCCTCGCGCGGCGGAGGAGTGCGCTCCCTCGATTGTGTCGGAGGGCGATTAAAACTGCATCATTCCGGAAGTCACGACACGCGTGCGAGTGCGTCAAGAAGAATACTGTCTCGTAAGTGTACGCAGTGGTCTCGCGACGCCGCCGCCGCGCCGCGCCGTCGACTCATCGATTCCCGCCGTAGTGCGACCGATACCGCGACGGCTCCCCCTCCCTCGCCCGACCCCCTCCCTCCCCCGCCCTCTCCTCGTCCTCCTCCCACACCTTTCGAAAGCGCACCTGGCAATACTCCCCCGCGCCCTTCCGAAACACGCACGCGGGATCGAAGTCGTGCACCTCGCGCAACAACTCCACGAGTCTCTCCGCGGCGTGCTCCACCGTCGCCTCGCCCTTCACCGCGGTCGCCTCCGATGCGTTACCAGTCGCGCCGGCGTGGTTGAGATCCTGCGCGAGCCACCCGAACCCGATCCCGCCGCCCTCCGGCGAGAGATACGTAAAGTCTCGCTCCATGTCCGCCCCCGCCGAAGGGAAGTCGCGCGCGCGCGACATCGTCACCGACTCCGGATGCAGATGCAGCATGACGCTCGTCTCGACGTCGCCCGCGTGCAGCCCGTGCTTGATCTCCTCGTCGTCGTATAAACCCTCCGGGACGCCGAACGAGAACCAGTTGACGCAGACGACGAACATCCCGAACCTTTTACGGAGGTCTCTCGCGACGATGTCCATCACCTGCGGCTGAGGGTCGTTCCATACAAAGCGATGGCGGGGTGGAGTTGAAAGGCGTCAGATGGAGTTGAAAGGCGTCGAGGGCGGGGTTTGAAAGCGAGGGATGAGCGGAGAGACACGCCGGGCAAAGTCCTTAAGGAAACGGCGTTCACCACGCGAACGGGGTCGTATGGGGACCAATGTATAGAACGCACCTGACCGCCGTGCGAGTTGAAGAGGACGAGCTTCTCGATTCCCGCGCGGTGGACGCTCTCGCCGATGTCCGTCCACGCCGCGATGAGCGTAGACGCGCTCAGCGATATCGTCCCCGCGAAGTCGTCGTGCTCCACGGACTTGCCGTACGGAAACGCCGGGAGCACCGTGAGCGGAATCTCGGAAGGGAGGAGGCGCAGCGCGACGTCGAGCACGCCCGCGTTGATGGCCGCGTCCACGCAGACGGGGAGGTGCGGGCCGTGCTGCTCTATCGCGCCCACGGGGAGGAGCGCGATGACGTTCGAGGCGTCCATCTCGTCGAATTCCGCGGTCGTCATGTCCGCCCAACGCCGCTTCGGGAGAAGCGAGGAGGAGGAGGAGGAGGACGAGGACGAGGACGAGGGCGATGATCCCTCCGCCGACGCGTTTCCGCCATTCGCGGTCGCGGCCGTCGCGCGCGACGGCGCGCGGTGGCGCCGCCGCGACGCGCCTCGCTCGTCGCGCCGCCGCGACGAGGCGCGCGACGCCGCGGCCGTCGCTGGGGACGCGCACGCCGCTCGAGCGGCCATGTCGCGATGGCGCCGGTGTGCGACGTGTTGTGCGCGTCCCCGGCGGCCGCGATCCTATCCACGGCGGTCTGCCGACAGCGCGCGCGGTCGACGAGGACGAGTTCTTTCCTGTCCGAAATCTCATTCGCCTCGTCAGCAGTCATGATCGCGCGCGCGTCGTGTCGCGCCACGCCCGCCGCGGTGCCGCGGCCGCGCGCGTCGTCGCCCGACGCTCCGCGACGCCGTCGCCGTCGCCCGCGCCGCCATGCATCCTCCCCGCCCGAGGTGGTGAACCCGGAGCTGTCTTACGACGAGGAATTTTGCATCGTCGACAAAGGATGCGCGCACGTGATGCGACAGCTGCGCGGCGCGGACGACGTCGCGAAGCTCGAGACGTTGCTCGCCGAGGTCGCGTTCGACGCGAGCGAGGACGAGTGGATCGCGCTCTTGAGCGGCGGCGGCGCGGAGGACGCGGAGGAGGACGCGACGGCGACGGCGACGGCGACGGCGACGGGGACGGGGGGCGCGCGTCGTCGCTCGCCGTTGCACGGCGCGACGGGGGTGTTCGACGAGCGCGACGACCTCGTCGCGCTCGCGTGCACGACGGTGTACGACCGCGTCGGCGTCGGCGACGCGTCGATGTCGACGTCGACGTCGACGTCGACGGCGGCGGCGCGCGAAGGAGGAGGAGGAGGACGATTCGCGTGGTGCGGGAACGTCGTCGTGAGGAACGACTATCGAAAGCTCGGCGTCGCGTCGATGGTCTTGAGAGCCGCGCTCGAGGAGACGTCGTCGAAGGGCGCGCGCGAGGTTTACCTCGACGCGTCGGACATGGGCGTGAAGCTGTACCAGCGCGCGGGGTTCGTCGCGACGTCGCGCGTGCGGCGATACGCGTTGCGCGACGACCGAGACGCGGCGTCGTCGAACGCCGCCGCCGCCGCCGCCGCCGCCGCGCCGCCGGCGTCGACGCGCGACGAGGACGACGACGTCGACGACTTCGACGACGACGACTTCGAGCGCGTCGTCGCCGCGGACGCGGGGATTTTCGGCGCGCGGCGCGCGGCGCTGCTGCGCGCGTGGCGAAGCACCGCGCCGGGGTGTTTCGCGTGGGATCCGGAGGTTGGCTACGCGTGCGCGCACGCTCGAGGGTCCAAGTTGTACGTCGGGCCGTCGGGCGTTTTTGAAAACGTCCCCGTCGAAGCCGTTTCGCTTTTCTTCGAGCGAGTGATTCGACTCGCCGTCGGCGAAATGCGCGCGAGGGACGACCTCGACGGCGTCGTCGCGTACGTCCCGGAAGGGTTGGAGGAGGAGGAGGAGGGAGACGACGACGACGACGACGACTCGAACGCGGCGGCGGCGGCGCTGACGAGAGCGGGGTTCGTCTTCGAAGAGCGCACGACGCGGATGCGGCGGTGCGAGGGCGACGATCGCGCGCCGCCGGTCGCGTTGGGCGACGCGAGCAGGTGCCTGACGATAGCGAGCTTAGACTTAGGGTGACGCGTCGGTCGCGGTCGACGCCCGCCCGCCGCGATTGTTAACCTCAGCTCAGATCTACTGACGAAAAAAGCGTTTATACCCTCGACGACGTGAATGGTCTATCCACAACTCCTCGCCGCCCCCGGGCGGGGCTCGATGACGCGCGCGTCCGTCTCCGTCGCGCGCTGCACCCCGCGCGTCTTCCTCCGCGGACGACGATCGATGACGTCTCCTCGCTCCACCGCGCGCGCGCGCATCGCGCGCCGCGTCCTCGCGCACGGGAATCGCGCGCGCGGGAATCGCGTCGACGCCGTCATCGACCCCGACGACGTCGACGGCGTGCCCTACGAAGCCCCGTCGAAGCAGCCTTCAGACGACCTGAGAGGCACGGGCGTCGTTCTCCCTCCGATCACGTGGGCGAGCGACGCGTGGCGCTGGGGCAGCGCGATCGGGGACGCGCACGACGCCGCGGCGGTGGTCCGCGCGGCGTTGAACGCGAGCGAGGACGCGCGGAAGCGATGGCTCGTGTCGATGATCTCGACCTCGCCGCTCCCGGAGCAAAACTACGTCCCGTGGGAGGAGTGCAAGCTGGTGCTCGCTCTGTCTTGGCAGCTCAGCGGGCACCGCGGCGCGCACGCGTGCGCGAACGGCGCGGGGTCGTGGCTGGACGTCATGGAGAACTTGCGAAGAGGGTACTACGAGGAGAATAATTCCGTCGGCGGCGACGTCGTGTTGGCGCGCGACATGGGCGAGCGGCTGAGCGAAGCGGGGCGCGGGCTGATCGTCGACGCGAGACGGGCCGCGAGCGAGGCGACGAACGGGGACGAGGTGTGGACGCACGACGCGGTGCGACGCGCGACGGCGGCGGCGGTGTTGCTCGAGCTGGAGTTTCTGGAGGTTGGGATTTAGGGCCGTTCTATACAAGCGAAAGTCGGGGTGGAGTTGAAAGGCGTCAGGTGGAGTTGAAAGGCGCCGAGGGCGGGTATTGAAAGCGAGGGGTGGGCGGAGAGATGCGACGGGCAAAAGTCCTTAAGGATCGGCGTCCACCTCGCCAACGCGGTCGTATGGGGACCAGTGTATAGAACGCACCTTAGACAGGACAGCGCGAGAGAATGATTGAATAATGTGAATCTCGACGCCGGCGGGGGGCGGCGGCGACGACGCGCCGCACCCTTCGTCATCCTTTCGAATCGACCGAGCGGACGCGACGTCGCGTCGAGCGCGGCTTCGGTCGTGTACTGTGCTATTCGTTCGTTCACGTCGTGCGCAGGAATCGTCCATCGTCGTTCGGGAGTCGCGCGCCTCCGCGGGTTGTTCGAACTGCCAGCTGTCGACCTGTCGTCAGCAACTCCACTCGTCACGCGAGAACTCCGGAAGCGCCCGCCGCGAAGAGGCGCGGGCGTTCACTCCCGCCCTCGCCGCGCCCTTCGCCCCGCGTCTCGCTTCTTCGCGTTCGCGCGCGACCGCGAGATGGCACCCCGGCGGGACCGCGCCTCCCGCGCGGCGTCGCCGAGGACGTCGTCGTCGTCGCCGCCGGCGGCGGCGACGACGACGCGGACGCCGCGGACGCGCCGCGTCGCGCCCGGCGTCGTCCTCTTCGCGATCTTCTTCCTCGTCGCCTCCGCCGCGCTCCCGACCGCGGAGGCTGGGTTCAAGGTGGAGAAGGCGACGTTCCGCGTGAACGCGCCGTCCAACATCCAGGGGACGTACGAGATGGCGATCGCCAACTTCGGCGTGCCGCTGTACGGCGCCGTCCTCAACGGCGCGCTCGCGTACCCGCCCGTCGATCACGAGGCGTGCGATCCCTACCCAGCAGACTGGCGCGCGCCGAAGCACCCGGGCCTCGGCGCGTCCGTCGTCGTCGTCGACCGCGGCGACTGCGCCTTCACGCGCAAAGCGTTCCACGCGCAGCAGGCGGGCGCGGACGCGGTGATGATCCACGACAACGTCGCGGAGACGCTCGTCACCATGGACGCCGCCTCGGACGCTCAGGCGCGTTCATATTTTTACACTGGTCCCCATACGACGACGTTCGCGTGGTGCACGCCGATCCTTAAGGACTTTATCCCCCGGCGCATCTCTCCGCCCAGGGTCCCTCGCTTTCAATCCCGACACAACTCCACCTCGACGCATTTCAACTCCGCTTCTGACGCCGATGAACTCCACCCCGACGTCGCTTTGAACGATGGAACGGCCCGCAGTACGCGTCAAACATCACCGTCCCGGTGGCGCTCATCACGAAACAGGTGGGCAACGTCCTCGAGGGCGTCCTCTCGCAGGGACACAACGTCCTCGTGACGCTGAACTGGACGGACGTGATGCCGCACCCGGACGAGCGCGTGGAGTGGGAGCTGTGGACGAACAGCGGGGACGAGTGCGGGCCGTCGTGCGACGCGCAAAAGACGTTCATCCGAGACATGGCGCTCACCGCGCAGACGTTGGAGCGAGGCGCGTTCACGCAGTTCACGCCGCATTACATCACGTGGCTGTGCCCGCCGGAGTTCATCGACGATCCCGCGTGTGTCGCGCAGTGCATCAACCGCGGGCGGTACTGCTGCCCGGACCCGGACGACGACTTCCGCGCCGGGTTCAGCGGCGTGGACGTCGTGATGGAGAATCTGCGATCGCTGTGCGCGTTTCAGATTTTGAATCAGACGGAGACGCCGTGGAAGTGGTGGGACTACGCGACGGCGTACGGCGAGAAGTGCACGATGGCGAACGGGCGGTTCGGCCAGGAGAGCTGCGCGATCGAAGTCCTGAGCGACCCGAAGGTTGGCGTCGACGTCGACGCGTGGCGGAGGTGCGTTCAGTACAAAAGTTTTTCACCCATCGCTCGGTTTCAACACTTGATCGCGTCCCCTTTCAACTGACCGGTGAACATTTTTTGTATGGAACGAACCTCACAGGTGCGTCGGCGACCCGAACGCGGACGCGATAAACCCGCTGCTCGAGGTGCGTTCTATACACTGGTCCCCGTACGACCCCGTCGGCGTGGTGAACGCCGATCCTTAAGGGCTTTGCCCGTCGCATCTCTCCGCCCACCCCCCGCTTTCAATCCCCGCCCTCGGCGCCTTTCAACTTCAACTGACGCCTTTCAACTCTACCCCAGGCGGAGCAGCGCGCGCAGGTGGACACCAGCGCGGACCGTGAACGCGGCGACATCGTGCTGCTTCCCACAGTGGTGATCAACGAGCGGCAGTTTCGCGGGAAGCTCGAACGGAGCGCGGTGCTGGACGCCATCTGCGCCGGGTTCGAGCGCGGCGCGGAGCCGGATCTGTGCGCCGCGGGCGCGGACCAGAACGACGCGTGCGCGGCGGGATCCGTCGGCGCGGTGCACTGCGCGTCCGACGCCGACGGCCTCAGCCTCACCGGCTGCGAGGAGATCTCGCGGTACCCGTTCTATCAGTGCGCGTGCCCGCTCGGGCGGCGGAAAGTCACGCGTCCGGATGGCAACTTCACGTGCGAGGAGGTGAACGAGTGTCAACGCGCGACGGTGGAGATGCCGTCGTGCTCGTGCGAGCGGTGCGTGTGCCGCGACCTTCCGCTGGGGGAGTTCACCTGCCACGAGGAGCCGCCGAGCGCGTGCGCGGACGCGGGCGGAAGGAGCGGCGTCGACGAAACCCCCGGCGGGTGCTGGGTCTCCGCGGATGGCAAACACAACGCGTGTCGCGATAACATCGAGGCGAAGAAAGCGACGGGGTTGAAAGGCGGCGACCCGGCGACGATCCCGGCGACGACGTGCGCGTGCCCGAAGGGGTTCTCCGGCGACGGCGTGCGGTCGTGCGTCGACGTGGACGAGGTGCGTTCTATACACTGGTCCCCATACGACCGCGTCGGCGTGGTGAACGCCGATCCTTAAGGACTTTTCCCGGCGCTTCTCTCCGCTCACGCCTCGCTTTCAATACCCGCCCTCGGCGCCTTTCAACTCCAACTGACGCCTATGAACTCCACCCCGACATCGCTTTGTATGGAACGACCCTGAGTGCGTGACGTCGTGCAAGGGCGAGCACATGACGTGTCAAAATTTGGTGGGGTCGCACGAGTGCGCGTGCGCGGCTGGGTACGTCGCGCGGTTCGACGCCGCCTCCCCGGACGGGATCGCGTGTTTCCTCGGCGGAGGATCAGGCGGCGGATCCGGCGGGCGCGTCGTCTTCGTCGCGTTCCTCGTCGTCGTCGCGTGCGCGACGTGCGCCGCCGGAGGGTTTTGGCTCTACCGAAGGAAAGTGCGGTCGTACATGGACGCGGAGATCCGGGCGATCATGTCGCAGTACATGCCGCTGGAGGACGAGGGCGAGGACGGGGAGCAGACCGGCGGCGTCGCGCAAGGGAATCCGTTCGTGGGAGGAGGTGCGGCGGCGGGGAGGCACGACAGGACGGGGTACGTCATCGGAGGGGACGCCCCGGACGACGACGAGATTCCGACGGACAAGGAGATGACGACGCTCGGGGGAGGCGGCGGGTTCAACGCGTGAACGCTCGCCGCGGGATGGACGCTCCACGATGACGATGGATGTATTATCACGCGCGCGAACGCGAACGCGACGGCGACGACGACGACGACGTCGACGACGGCGAAACGAGACTATCATAAAGTGCGCGGCGCCGACGACGCGCGCGATGAACGAAAGAACGCCGACGAACCGCCCCGTCTCCTACGCCGCCGCGCTCTTAAACCCCTGCTCCTTCGCCTCCCTCTGCTTCTTCTGAACCTCTCGCACCGCCGGTAACGCCCCCGCGGGCGCGCCCTCCTTCTCGATGTTAAACGCGCACCGATACGCCCCGACGATCGCGCCGTCGCCCGCCGCCGCGCGCGCCGCCTCCGTCGCCGCCGCGACAGCCTCGTCGCTCGCGCCGCCGAGCTCCGTCCGCACGACGAATCGATACGCCGACGCCGCGTCGACGCACTCGTGCAGCGACGCGCCCAGGAACGTCTCCCCGCACGATTCGCGCGCGGCGTCCACGCCGCTCCACGCCTCCCACGCCTCCTTCTCTTTGTCTCCTCCGCGCGGCGTCGCGACGAGCACGGTCGCGTCGGTCTCCGCGTATTTCACCGCGCCGTGCGGCGCTGAGGGTGAGTTGAAAGGCGTCAGACTTGGGAGTTGAAAGGCGTCGAGGGTGGGGATTGAAACCGAGGGGTGGGCGGAGAGTGACGCCGGGCAAAGTCCTTAAGGATCGGCGTTCACAACGCGAACGCGGTCGTATGGGGACCAGTGTGATACTAGAACGCACCCGACGCGATGGCTGACGTCGGTCCCGGCGTCGCGGCGATCTCCGCGCACGGCAGCGGATGGTGCGTCCGCTCCACGTGCCCGATGTCCACACACTCGCGCAAGTCCTCGAACGCGTCCCAGAGCGTCTCCGGCGCGCACGAGAAGAGCGTCATGTTGAAGTACCCGTGCGGCTCGCAGTCGATCGCGCGCGCCTGGTCGTGCGCCTCGTGGAAGTGCGCGGAGGCGTACGACGGATGCGACCGCGCCACCTCCGCGACGTGCAGCGCGCCCTCTAAGAACGTCGTGAATATCGGCTTCGGGGCGACGAGCTCGTCGTACAGGTGGAAGAGCACGGTGCCGTCGTACATGCCGTCCGCGTTCGACGCGGAGGCGGAAGGTGACGCGGAGGACGCGCGACGGATAAGACGAGGACGCCGATGAGGACGCGCGTCGTCGCGGTGGCCGACGCTTCGACGGAGGGACGCGTCGACGCGCGCGCGCGTCGCGGGGGCGAGCGCGAGGCGCGCGAGCGCGGTCGACATCGTCGTCGCTGCGGCGGGTGGGACGGCTCCGGGTGGACGCGCGCGCGACGGGCGGGCGGGCGGCGCGCTCGAGAGGAGTCGCGGGATTGAGAATGCCGGTGTCGATGACTTTTATTTTATTCGAGCGAACGAACAGAACGTTGAGAGACGGCATCGCGCGCGGCGCGGCGCGCGGCGGCGAGCGATCATGTCGCGGCGCGAGGGCGCGCCCGCGGCGCGACGACCGCAACGGCGCGAGAACGACGGCAACGGATGGGGCGAGGTCCGACGCGCGGACGTCCTCGACGTGAACCTCGCGGACTACGTCTCGCCGCGCGCGCTCGCGGGCGGACGACGCGTCGGCGTCGTGCGGCGAGACGACGACGAGTCCCCCGGAAGCGCGCGGTCGAGCGTGACGTATCACACGGACGACGACGGCGACAGCAGCGCGGTGGACTTCGAGTCCGGCGCGGAGGACCTGGAGGACTCGGACGAGGAGGAGACGAGCGCGAGCGCCGCGGCGGCGAGCCGCGGCGGGCGCGGCGGGGCGGACGAGCTCGCGAGGGGATTTAACACGATGGGACTCGGAGGCGGCGGAGGAGGGGGCGGGGGCGGCGGGGGGGGAGTAGGCGAAGGCGGCGGCGGCGCGGAGATCACCGAGGCGGAGGTGCGCGAGGCGTTCGCCGCGTTCGACGAGGACGGCGACGGCCTGCTCGACGCGAGGGACGTGAAGTCGTTCTTCGAAGCGCTCGGACAGACGGTGTCGACGCGCGAGGCGAGCGAGATGTTACGGACGGTGGACGGCGACGGCGACGGGAGGGTGAACTTCGAGGAGTTCTTCGATCTCGCGACGAGGAGCGCGCAGTTTTTCGAGTGACGCGACGCGGCGCGGCGATGGCGTAGCGAAGGCGACGCGCCGGTTCTCTTCTCTCGAACTCGAATCATCAGAATCGAACGTCAAACGGAACGACGGTCGCCCGACCCCTCTTCCCGCGCGCCCCTCCCCGTCCCGCCCGAACCCTCGACGCGACCGCCGCGTCTCGCGTCCCTCCCTTCCTCGCTCCTGAATTCCAATCGCCGCGGACGACGGCGACGTTTCGTATCGCCACGCGTCGCTTCGCGTCGTCGCTCGTCTCAGGGCCGTTCTATACAAGCGAACGTCGGGGAGGAGTTGAAAGGCGTCAGTTGGCGTTAAAAGGCGTCGAGGGCGGGTGTTGAAAGCGGGGGGTGGGCGGAGAGATGCGACGGGCAAAGTCCTTAAGGATCGGCGTCCACCACGCCGACGGGGTCGTATGGGGACCAGTGTGCAGAACGCACCTCATCGAAAGTGCGCGGCGATTGAAAACGACACCGCGGCGACGGAGACGATCACGAGCGCGCCCGTCAACGCCGCGGGTCCCCACGTGTCGTCGTACCTCGCGCTCGGCTCCCTCCGCGCGATCCTCCGCGACCGCCACAGGTACGTCAGCAGCGCGTACGCCATGAAGGAGATGGCGACGGGGGCGAGGATCGCGCCGCAGACCGCGCTGGCGAGCTGAGGGTCGTTCCATACGAGCGATGATATCGGGGTGGAGTTCAAAGGCGTCAGAAGCGGAGTTGAAAGGCGTCGAGGTGTGTCGGGATTGAAAACGAGGGACCCTGGTCGGAGAGATGCGACGGGCAAAGTCCTTAAGGATCGGCGTTCACCACGCCGACGCGGTCGTATGGGGACCAGTGTGAGATGGAACGCGCCTGATCCGCGCTCCGACGCGGCGGCGGCGGCGGCGCGGCGCTCGCGCTCGAATCCCCGCTCGCTTCGCTCGCCGCCGACGGCATCGACGCTCCGGGGAGTCCACCGTCGACGCCGCCGTCCAGCGCGAGGAGCGCGAGAGACGCCAACAGGAGGAGGACGGACATGGAGAGCCACTGAAGCAACGTCCGCTCGTTGGCGAAAAAAGTCTTCGGCTCGACTTTGATCGGAACGTGACGACGACGGCCCGCGGCGAGGCCGTCGGAGCCGCTCCCGTTGCGCGGTGGCGGCGGATCCGACGGCCGCGGTCGGAGAAACGACGGTCTGAAGTGCTCAACGGCGGCGGCGGCGGCGACGACTCGCTCCGGCGCGGCCCCGGGCGCGGCGGCGGACGGGTCGGACGGAATCGCGTCCGACGACTGCGCCGCCGCGGATGGAAGAAGACGCTCGCCGCCGCCGACGCCGACGACGCCGACGCGCTGTTCGCCGTCGGCGACGACGTGCACGACGACGTGGTCGTCTTCGCCGCCCGACCCTCCGTCGGACGGCTCGACCGCGCGCGTCGCCGTCGCCGTCGTCGTCGCCGCCGTCGCCGACTTCGTTCGCGTGAGCAACGCGCGCTCGAGCGTGTCTCTCGCGCGCGCCCGCTCCTCGTGCGCGCGCGCGACGTCGTCGTCGAACCAGTGCGGAATTCGCCACAGAAACGCCCCTCCGCCGGGGGTTTCATCGTTCACCCCCCCGCGCGTCGCGACGGTTCCGTGGAGAAATTTCGAAAATTTGTACACCTCCGTCGACGCCGGCGCGGCGCGCAGCGCCTCGTCGATCCACTCGCACTTTTCCCCCTCGTGCAGCTTCACCTCGAGCACCGCGTGCGGGAACTCGACCGCGGCCGCTGCTTTAGGGTTAGAGATGTTAGGGTTTAGGGTCGTCGTCCGCGTAGGTCTTCTTCTTCGCGCGTCCGTGAACGCGAGCTCCGTGTCCAGCGACACGCGAATCGCGTTCGAGCTCGCCGTCTGAGAATCGTTCCATACAAAAAATGTTCACCGGTCATCAGTTGAAAGATGATAGACTCGATCGATCAAATGTTGAAACCGAGAGATGGGTGAAATACAGTACGTTTGTATCGAACGCACCTGAAACGCGGCGCGGCGGTAGTCCACGCGCAGGCTCGGCGTCAGGCGCCGCGCTTCGATCTCGTCGCGCGAGATCTCCGTCGCGAGCGCGCGCGCGCTCGCGTCGCTCGCGAACCTCGCGCTCGGGTCGATCACGCCGGAGATAAAGCCCGCGAGCTCGCGTCGCGCGAGCTTGAACCGTTCTTTGACGCTGTCGTCGACGCTCCACGACTCGTGGTGCGATTTTCGCTCGAGAAACACGTCGTCGTCGTCGTCGTCGTCGTCGTCGTCGTCGTCGTCGCGCGCGGCCGCGGCGTCGCCGTAGACGCCGGAGACGTCCGCGTCGTCGCCGTACCACCGCGCGCGCACGAGCGTCGCGCCTTGCTCGCGCGCGAGGCGGATCTTGTACACGTCCAGCGTCTCGGAGTCAAAGTACGCCGAGGTTATTTTCCCGCCGTCGCGCGGCGGGAAAATTTCATCCCCGTCCCCGTCCCCGTCCCCGTCCCCGCCCTCATCCCCGCGCGTCGTTCCGTTCTTCTTTCCCTTCTTCTTCCCCTTCTTCTTCCCCTTCTTGCCGTCGTACACGAGCAGCGGCAGGTGACGCGCGACGGCGAGCTTCACGCGCAGCACGTCGCGGACGTCGACCCAATATTTTACCGTCTTCCGCGTGAAACTGCACGGCGTCGGGGTGGAGTTGAAAGGCGTCAGATGGAGTTGAAAGGCTTCGAGGGCGACGATTGAAAGCGAGAGGTGGGCACAGAGACACGCCGGGCAAAGTCCTTAAGGAATCGCGTTCACCACGCGAACACGGTCGTATGGGGACCAGTGCAAGGAGAACGCGCCTGCTCGGCGGCTCCCACTCGACGCCGTTTTCGTTTTCGTTTTCGTCATCGCCGCGCTCTCCTCCCTCTCCCCGCGCGGCGTCCTCCGCCCTCGCGGCGACGTGCGCGGCGCTGATCGCGACGACGACGCGCTCGAACAGGACGTTCAGCGATCGAAGCGCGCCGAGGAGCTCGACCGCGGCCGCGAGCGCGACCGCGGGGTCGGACGAAGGGGAGGACGGGACGGAGGAAGAGGAGGAGGAGTGAGACGACGCCGACGCGTCGTCCGATAAGGTGTCCTCGGACTCGACGCGCGCGAGGACGCCCGTGGGGCTGTTCGCGCGCGACGGCGAAGGCGACGGCGACGCTCGCGTCTTCGCGGCGACGAGATGGCGCGCCCACGCGTCGACGGACGCGGCGACGGTGGCGATATCGCGCGCGAGCGCGTCGCTCGCGTCGACCGCGCGGCGCGACAGCGCGTCCGCGGCCGCGCGCGTCTCCGCGCCGCTCGCGCGCGCGCCTCCGCGCGTCGCGAGCGCGTTCGCCTCGCGCGCGATATCGCGCGTCTCGTCGCGGACGCGACGCTCCGCGCGCGCGACGTCCTCGCGCAGGCGCGCCACGCCGGCGTCGGACGCGTCCACGCGACGCGCGGGCGGCGGCGGCGGCGGCGGCGGCGCGCGCGACGACATCGCCCGGTGCGAGCGCGCGGGCGCGGTCCGCGCGTTCGCGAGTGCGCGCGTCTCCTCGGACCGCGCGTGCGGCGACGGACGCGCGCGAGCGACGCGAGGTCGAGCCTCGTCCGAGGGTCGGCTCGTCGGTTCCGATGCCGCGCGAACTGAAGCGAGGGAAGGAAGAACGCGTCCGTGCGACGTGTGATACTTTTGGCACTACCAAACAGACGCCGTCAGCCGTCTCGTCTCGTCACCACTCCCCTAATCGTGCTATCAACGCGAGAAGCTCCTTCGCCCTCGGCGCGAGCTCGCCGCTCCCGCGCGCGATGGCGTCCACGCCGTCGCGCATCGCGCGCATCGCGCGCAGCGCCGCGCCCGCGCGCGCGGCTCTCTCCTCCCCGACCAAGTCCACGCCGATGCCGCCGCGCGCGTTTCCGCCGCTCTTCCCGCCGAACGCCGCCGCCGTCGCCGCGTCCTTCAACAGCGGTTCGTACGCCAACACGATCTCGCGCGCGAACCGCATCGACGCGTCCGCGTGCCGCGCGTGCGGCGACGACAACAGCGGCGGGAGAAGCGGCGAGAGCGCGGCAGCGAGCTCGAGCGTGAGCGTCTCGCCGCCGCCGCCGCCGGGGGATCGCGACGGCGACGCGCCCCCCGCCCCCGCGCCCGCGCCCGCGCCGGCTCTCCCGGCGTCCAACACCGCGACGAGAACGTCCGCGACGACGGAGTCGTCGCCGCTCTTCGAGAGCGCGTCCGCGGCGGCGCGCGCGTCGCCCTTCGACCAGAACCGCGACGCGACGCGCAGGGACGTGAGGCGCGTCGCGAGCACGCCGGCGACGACGTTGGCGTCGGCGCCGACGAGTTTCGCGAGGACGACTGAGGGTCGTTCCGTACGAGCGAACGTCGGGGTGGAGTTCAAATGCGTCAGAAGCGGAGTTGAAAGGCATCGAGGTGTGTCGGGATTAAACGCGAGGGGTGGGCGGAGAGAGACGACGGCAAAAGTCCTTAATAATCGGCGTTCACCACGCCGACGCGGTCGTATGGGAACCAGTGTGATGAGAACGCGCCTGACTCGTCCGGCGGCGTCGACGCGGTACCCGCGCCCGCGGACGTCGGCGTCGGGACGAAGGATGCGAAGTCGAGGCCCATCGGGCCGCCGCCGGCGGCGTTCGGGCGGCTCGAGGGCGGCGTCCGCGCGGGAGGAGGAGGAGGAGGAGGAGGAGGAGGAGAAAGCGGCGGCGGCGTCGGGGAAAACGGCGGCGGCGGCGGCTGCTTCGCCGTCGTCGTCGTCTTCGACGCCGCGCCCACGCCGCCGTTGTTCTCGCGCTCGCGCTCCGCTCGCGCCCTCGCCATCGCGCTCGCGAGCGTCTCCGCGCCGTCGTCGGACGCCTCGCGGACGATGAACTCCGTCTCCGCCTCCAGCGCCGCCGATCGAAGGATGTTTAAATCAAACGCGCCCGCGCCCGCGCCCGCGCCCGCGGCGCCCGCGTCCCCGAACCGACCGCGCCTCGACGCGCGGACGCCGTCGGACCGCCGCGCCGCGGGAGCGTGAGGCTCCGCGGACGGGACGGGAGGGTCGGGGTGGTGGCGGTGGTCGCGCTCCGCGGGCGAAGGCTCGGACACGACGACGAAGTCGTCGTCGTCGTCGTCGTCGTCGTCGTTGCCGCCGCCGAGCGGTTTCAAAGTCCTCGTCGGCGACGCGACCGACGCCGGGATCGGCGTCGCGCGCGTCGTCGCCGCCGCCACCACTCGAGGCGCGAACGGCGGCGGCGGCGGCGGCGACGG